ATGGCATCAGGGGTTGTGAGGGCTGTGAGTGGCAGCACTCCTGTGTTGGCAGGGGAACCTCATGACTCCTCTGTGGCGGTAGGGGGATCGGCAAGCTGCGTGGCCAGGTGGAACGTGCCTGGTGTAAAGCGTGGCATTTCTAATGTACCCGCAGGAACAGTGAAGGCTGTTGAGCGGGAGATCCAGCCCAGCGATGACATGCTGGGGAATCTGGATAGATGTTCGGGTCACCAACTGAGGCTCCCGGTTTTTGGGCTGGGCATGAGGTTTCAGCTTTTGAGATGGAATGTGAGTTTTTTGTGTCGTTGCAATTTAAAACCCTCTCATCTGTTCCGTTTAGGAAACTTTGTGGTAATGCGGCCAGACTGGAACCCTCCGTGTTGCAATTAGGTGTCACTCTGTTGCAGCTCCTGCTGGTCAGCCCACGCGATGAGCTCAAAATGACTAGTTGGGTGTTTGATCAATTCAACTGCAACTCCACTTCGCCTGCTCGGGTTAGGGGCGTGTTGCCAATTCCCTTGGCCCCAGTAGGAGCTGCTTTACAGTTGTTTCGAATGATGCAAGCAAGTCCAATTGGGCTGCTAGAGCTGACGCAGACCTCGCGAGGCAAAAAGAGGGGAAGGCAGCAGTGGAAGCGGCTGCACTTCGAAGGGACATGTCAAGTGTGGCGTTGCTTAAGTGTCCTTATGTTGAACGGATTGTACGGAGATTCGGGGTTCCACAAGTTCCCGCATAGGAGGTGTTCAGAGACTCAAGAGGCCGCAATGAAGGTTATTGACTCCTGGGTGCTAGATTTCTGCATGAAACCCACTGAGAAGTTCGTGATGCCCAATTTTTCAGAGCTAGTCAAGAGTCGAACTGTGGACTATGCAGGGGAAGAGGTTTGTCACGCCCTTCCCCTCAGGTTAGAAGAGCTGCTTCCTGGGCTGCAGCAGGGTTTATCAAGGACTGGGTCATGGATCCCAGGCTTACGTTGAAACCCGTGTCGGACTGGCCGCAGGTGAACCCCAGGGCTAGGATAAATGCAACAAGGACTGAACGGTACCGGGTTTGTGCGGAGCTCTTTTACAGAGGGATTATTGCACCCATTGCGCTCTCGGATGTTTTCCATGCCAACGGCTGTCCTGTTCTTAATGGAGCATTTGCGGTTGAGAAACGTGGCAGGGCTGGTGTTGGCCAGTGTCGAGTGCCAGTGTCATGCATTCCAGCGGTTAACGCAGGGGGATTTGAATACATTGAGTAGTTCAACTGCATGGTCCCAACTCGTCCTAAAAGAAAAGGAAGTCAGTTTATGGAGTGATGATCAAAAAGGAGCCTTTTATGCATGGGAGCTTCCACAGTCCTGGCCCCCCTTCATGTGCTTTGCCTGGCCTGTGCCAGGACACCTTGTGGGCTCTGTCAATGTCTTTGGGTACGTGGCGTCGCGAGTCATCCCTATGGGGTTGATTCAGGCAGTCAGCCTTTTCCAGCGCAACCCACAAACAACAGAGAGAGTCATATGCTCGATGGGGGGTAGGTATTTCAGAGGAGAAGGCTCATGTCTGAGAACCAATAGAAGTGCGGATGGGGGCAGAGATTGATAGAGTAAAAGGGACGGTCAGTGCTCCGATGGCGAAGAAGATTGAGGTGTCCTATTTTACTCGTTGGTTATTAGGCCGTCATCTTGCCCCCACAAAAACTCTGCTGATGGTATTGGGTAGGCTGGTCAGATGCTTCGAGTTCAGACGCTCCCTCATGACCCTTTTGGGTTCCGCTTGGCCCAAGGGGCACGTCCATACAAGGAGACCTCTCTCTCAGTTTGCACTCAGGAACTACTGCGAGCTGTGGCACTTCTCCCCTTGCTCAGTCAGCAACGTGGTGACCTGCTCTGATGCCAGCGAGGCTGGAGGCGGGCTTTACAGCTCAGGCGGGTTAACAACAGAAGGTGAACAATACCAGGAAGATCGATACACCTCCTTCATGCCTCAGGGGGCCATGAGGTCATCTACAAAGAAGGGGATTCGAATCGCAGTCATATCACTCTTTGATGGCATCTCTGCATTAATGTGCACTTTTAGCTGCCTGCAAGGCCGGATTGTGGCCTTCCAGCGAAGCCGACAGAGAGTGTAAGAAGCTTGTGAGGCGTCGATGGCCCGGAGTCATGGAATTGGGCTTACCCAAATCAGTAGAGAGACACTGGAAGCATTAGCTAAATGTATTGGGACCGATGTGGGTTTGATTCAGGTGGGAGGCGGGAGCCCATGCCAGGATCTTTCAGCCCTGTTGGCAGATAGGGAAGGTCTCTGGGGTCCTCGTAGCCGCTTGTTTTTTCGAAAAGCCAAGCATTTTCAATGACCTGCGTGAGGTGTTCAAGTGCCCTGTCCATACGTTTGTTGAAAATGTGTTCTCCATGACCAAGTCGAACAGAGAAGAGTTCAGCGCGCAATTGGGAGTTGAGCCTGTGCTCCTGGATACCTGCCACTTCAGTGGGTGCCGCAGGCCTAGGCCGTTTTGGGTTGATTGGCCTATTGAAGCCAGACAAGGAGAAACTCTACTGCAGCACGACGGATACCGAGAGTGGGTCATTCCGGCGGGGTTGCCCCAGGACAACTGGTGGGTAGACAAAGGGTGTAAGAGGCTGGGATCAGGTCCATTACCTGCTCCAGCCAGGGCTCTCCCTGGGAAGTTTCCCCCAAAACAACCAGCGGGTTTAGCGACTGCAACTCGTGAAGCCATTGAGTGTTGGTCAGCTGACAACCATAGGTTTCAAGGATACCAGTATGAACAGCAACACTTGCTATCTCGCCCTGACGGCACTTGGCGGTTACCTTCCTTTATCGAGCGCGAGAAAGTCATGGGCTTCCCCTTGGGCTACATGTCTAATGGCCAAAATCCCAAGCTCACCATGGATGCGGTCTTCAACCTAGGCACTTCAATGATTGGGAACTCATTCAATGTTTATGCAATGACCTTTCTCCTCGACGAGCTGCTCTCTCATCGTTCTCCTGGGCATCAACCATGGTGTCTTGCCAGCATGCCGCATGCTCTCTAGGTGTCAAGCAGCACCAGCAGGTTGGGCACACCATGATGAAAGGGCCCGGATGTTAGTTCATGAGTTTTTGCGGGTTGGTGATAGGGCTGGAAGTGACGTCAAGCTCGATCTGGGCATCCCATTCGGTGCTAAAGCATGGCCACGTTCAGGTATCAGAGCCCACCTGTTTAACTGGCGGGTGGTTCATGGGTATGGCTGGAAATTTCCAGCCCACATAAATGTGTTGGAAATGCAAGCAGTTGTAAATGGGATGCGATGGAGGTTGAGAAAGCTTCGGGGTTTCAACACAGGATCCTTCATCTTGTGGATAATCAAGTTGTTGCATCAGTGATTGCTCAAGGCCGCAGCAGTTCCTTTCGCCGCAGAAAATCCATCAACAAGCTCACATCCCCGTGAGTTGCAAGGGGGCTGCAATTGTTAGTCGGGTACGTGGCTACCCACGATAACCCCAGTGACTTACCCAGTAGATGGGCTGCCAAACCCAACGGCAAGTTGAAGCTCGCAGACAGGAGCGCAAAAAGAAACGTAAAGGGGTCAGCTTAACTGACAATTTGGTCACTCCAGGGTTGAGTGCGCGCTACCACAAGGCCGCCGTTCGGATCCTTTCCTTTTGGCGTGAATCCCAAGCTCAGCCACGTACGTGGGATGATATGGACGTGGCTACTGGACAATGGTTGGAACATACCTTTGCAGAAGGAGCTTCTGATGGCTTGGCAGCATTACAATATTTTCTCCCAAAAGTGGCTGGGAAGTTGAGACACAGCTGGCGCTTGCTTCGATCCTGGCAGAAAGTTGAGCCTCCCATTCGAGTTCTGCCAATCAGCCCCCTGATGATGTTGGCCATCAGCGGAGCCTGTGTGCGGCTGGGGTACGTTGATGCTGCTGCTTCCTTCCTTCTCTGTTTTGACACTTTCTTACGCCCTGGTGAATTGAGAAAAAAGCACTTCACATGGGCCGGTGGTTCGGCCGTTCTTTCTGAGAAAACTGAACGCAGAAGAAATGATGGTTTGTGAAAGCACTATTGCAAATGTGTGGCTCGCACAGGCGTTGGCAGGCAAACATGACCATGACCTCCTCTGCAATGATAAGCCGGAGAAACTGCGCAGGCTGTTCTTTGTGCTTTCGGATCACCTGGGAATTCCAGGGCATTTTTCAATGTATAGTTTTCGTCGAGGTGGTGCAACTTTGCACTTCTTGTCGTCGCAGAGCCTTGAGCGCACGCGCTGGGGTTCCAGTTCCACTGCACGGATTTACCTGCAAGATGCGGCCGCTACTGTGAGTCATTTGCAACTTACTGATGACCAACGGTCGTACATGTCGTAGTTGAAGAAATTCCTGGCGGCTCCTTGGGCCAGTTTGGGGTCCATGGAAGGTGGAGCAAGCGTTTTCTTCATAGCATCTCACGGCAGCAGGGGTGCTTTCGCTTTTTTGGTGAGACCTCTCCCCAGTGAAGGCTAAGGTGGGTCATCCCTGATGACGGTCAAGGAATGTAGCAACAGAAAAGTAGCCTGCTGACCTTGAGTGTTTCTGTGATGACAATTTGAGTGCAAAATTTTGTGCACTGTCTTGATTATGGCAAAGCCATAACTCTGACAAACTCTGGTGGTGGCGCGAAAGGCAGCCGATTGACATGTGCTCATGATTTATCAGTTGGCATGTCATAAGGCCACTTCACAGAACCAGCTGGTCTCTGACTTCTGAGTTTTGGTTCCTCACGGCAGCAGGGGTGCTTTCGCTTTCTGGTGAGACCTCTCCCCAGTGAAGGCTAGGGTGGGTCATCCTTGATGACGGTCAAGGAATGTAGCAACAGAAAAGTAACCTGCTGACCATGAGTGTTTTTGTGATGACAATTTGAGTGCAAAATTTTGTGCACTATCTTGATTATGGCAAAGCCATAGCTCTGACAAACTTTGGTGGTGGAGTAAAAGGCAGCCGATTGACATGACAATGCAGGTTTCCCCATATCCTCATGGCGCCCTGGCTGAGACGCCGACAGATCCGAGGCACCGAGCATTTGTCGCAGGCCAAGGATGAGGGAATCCTGGAGGATTTCCTGAAACTTCGTGCAGGCCGGGGGGTTTCGGAAAGGGCACCGGGGATGGGTTAGGAAAAACATGAAAAACACGAGTTGGGGGGTTAAACCATGTTAAACCGGTTAAACCAACAAAGGTAGGTACCAAGAAATCTCGGGATTTAAATAAATATATTGAAATGATTTAAGCAACAATGCGGTGAATCAAAGTAACCAACAGGACAGCGCCCAGTAAACAAGCAGCAGCTCCAACAGTTGGAATATAGCTGGGCTGCAAAGATTCATTGGTTGAGAATGCTGAGATGGCAACTCGCAGGCTCTGACAGTTCTTAAACCATTCGTTTGTTGGGGCATCCAAGTTCGACCATCCAATTTTGACCCATGGCCGTTTTTTGGAACGACTCCTTGCACATATGATGCAGAGCAAATGGGCAGTTTGGAGAGCAAAGTATCAGTACAAATGGCATAGTGGCATGGTGTAAACCTAGTAGCACCCCAAGGTTCAGTTCCAATGAAATCTAATGAAATCCAATGAATGTTTTTTTTTGGTTTCTCTGAAAATAGGCCACCCCGGGCCCATCATCCACTGGTGAATCATCAGTTGCGGCCTTGTCGCTAGGCTCGTTGCTTGCCACAATGCATACCTTGCCACTGTGTGTGCAGTTGAGGGGTGGGCATAGTTGGTGGTCGAGACATGTTTCGATCTGGGAGGTTTTTCATCCTAGATGTCAGTAAAGCATTTATAAACCACCCATATTTTGATGGTTTAAACCACCCATTCACAGTACATTTTTGGGATGGTTTACTATTGCTTTACCCCTATGACTGGGATGATGTAAAATGATCCCCAGATGGTTGGCCAATGGGATGGTTTGTTGTTGGGCTTGCATGGGTTTACCACATTATTCGGGATGATGATTCCCAAGGACTAATACTTTTCGGAGGGGTTGGAAGTGCCAACAAGGCAACAAGTGCCTTGTGGGGATGTGTCCAAAGAACATGTGAAAAAATGGAAGCGCACCAACATACATATATATATATATATTTATTATGTATATATAATATTACATATATAACATATAGTATATAGTATATTGCATATAATATATTATGATATATATAGTATATATTACATATTGAATTATTTTTTTATTTATCACATATTTATTTTATTATATATATCTATATGTATCATATATAATATAATATATATATATATCACATGTATTACATTCACATATATATATATATGATATATGATATATATACATATATATGCATATATTTATTTTACACATGATATATATATATTTGACATATGATATTTTTATATTATATATAATATTAAAAAGTTTTTAATCATTTATTATATATATTAACATATATTTAATATGTAATATGTATAATTTATTATATTTTATTACATATATATATATATATTATAGTATTTTTAAATATATATTTATGTTATATATTATGTACATCTATATTTTCAGACTGTGGAACGTATCGACCCCTTTAAACATGGTAGATCCTCACCCCTCTGGGTAGTAAGGCGAACCCTCGCTCTACAAATTTTTCATTTCCTGGCATTTTTTTCGGACCATGATATATCACCTCATGGCAGTATTGGTGCAATTGCTCATATTGTAACATAGTGTAACTACCATACTAATATATATATATGATATTATGATCCTGTCTAAATTGAATTATTGTCATTTGATAAGATATTCAAACCAACTTGTTTATTGTGGACACGTTTGAAACCTTACCGAATGGTAGGTGATGGCCTCCAAACTTGCATATTTCCTGGGATAGATTACTCATTTGTCCAGTCAACAAACCAGTTTGTCTCGCAAATCATCCATATCCTACAGGAGCATCATCAATAATGGGCTCTTCATTTACGGGTGAAATTTTTGGATCAAACATATGTAGGGTACTCTGAAACCCATCTGTTGGTTCAAGACATCGCTTCTTCATTGAACCTGGCGTTCTAATCTTGGCAGCCAAAAATCATCTGGTTGGTCAACGGTTGGTCACTACATCCCATGACCTCCTCATCAACGCAGAAAAATATTCTTTTTGATTTTGTTGCTTGAATCCTCATATTGGGATTGTTGCTGGGGATCTATCATGATCTATCCCCAATATCTCAGTCCTAGATTTTTTTTTTTGGCACCAGCCTCCCAAGCTACATAGACCTTGCCAGTTATTGGTGTTGGGAGACTTCTTTCCAACCTTCGGATAGGGCAAGTTGTCAATTCTTGATGTCTTAGTTGGATGGTACATCCCCACATATCTGCATAGGATTGCCCCCAATTCCCAGGGTCTCTCTCCCTGTCTCTACAACATTTTTTTTTAAACATAAAATTATGTATATATACATATTATAGTGTACATACATAAACATATGACATCATATGTAATATTTATAGCAGAATCTCCAAGTTCTTGGGATGGGTACATCCCCGCTAAAACATCGCATCATTTTGGGACCAGCTGAAGGAAGGCACCGCCTTCCCCGAGGTTCGGCTCGATCACAGGAGGCTTCACCTGGATCGAAGCACGGGACGCCTTCGATGAGATCTCCATCATCTACGGTGGGGGGAAAGTGGGGAGGATGCTCTTCGGGGAATGGGAAATGACATGAATGGATTATATGATTGATAGATGTTTTGTACATGTGATTGGAATACTTTTACATGCGTGATCATGCGTGCGTAAGTTGGACAGAATTACTGTACATGAAAAAACAACATACATATACACACACATACATACACACATACACACATACACACATGCATACATACATGCATACATGCATACATGCATACATGCATACATGCATACATGCATACATGCATACATGCATACATGCATGCATGCATGCATGCATACATCCATACATACATACATACATACATGCATACATCCATACATCCATACATACATACATACATACATGCATACATGCATACATGCATACATGCATACATGCATACATGCATACATGCATACATGCATACATGCATACATGCATACATGCATGCATGCATGCATGCATGCATGCATGCATACATCCATACATACATACATACATACATACATACAGACACACACACACACATACATACATGCATGCATGCATACATACATACAAACATGCATGCATGCATCCATACATACTTGCATGCATGCATGCATCCATCCATCCATCCATCCATCCATCCATCCATCCATCCATACACCCATCCATCCATACACCCATACATACATACATCCATCCATCCATACACATACACATACACATACACATATCCATATCCACATCCATATACAAATACAAATGCATATACATATACAAATACAAATGCATATACATATACATATGCATATGCATATATATATATATATAATTGTATATATATATATATCATGGCTACAACACTCTATATATTGCCGTAGAGGCATAGCTATAAAACTGCATCCATCATTTTTCTAGCATCCAAAAAGTTCTCCGAGACTCTGCGATTAGTTCATCCCAAAAAACCAGGGTTTTGGAACTTTTCCCAAATTCCCCTTGGATCAATGGGGATATTCCCTGAAATTTAGGCCTTATACAGGCCATATATATGGTAGGTACCTCCAATTTAGGATCCTGAAATGGCGATTGATTGGATATCCCAAATTCGACACTTCCCAAATTGACGGACGTTGGCAGCGGAAACGTCCCCACGCAGGTTTCCTCTTCGAGGTCTACATTGCTTTCTGTAACTTCGCGGTCGGGAGCCACAAGGATTATCCAGTGACAGAAAACCATACGGGCCATACCAAGGCGTATCTACAACATGATTACACGATTATATGGATGATGATATATATATATATATTATAGATGTAGATGTGAATCATAGATGATGTACGTCTACACTAGATATTAATGATGTCTATCGTGGATTTATAGATCATCTATGTATAGATCCACACATACCTGGATACGTGGTGCTTTTGCCACCTCCACTGCTGAGGTTCTCAATGTGATGACTGGAGAAACTGGTCGGAAGTTGGGGAATTTGGGAGGGAAAAACACTTGGCCAAAATGATGGATCTTGAGAATTTCCAAAGATATCCAAAGATCCCTTCCTGAAACTCTAATACTGTAAGACCGATCGGTGTCTGGGGTTTTCCAAGTTTCAAGAGTTTCAAGAGTCAGACCAGTACATCAACACGTATGTCTCAATTTGTGGCGGTTCCATGTTCATTTTCATTCGTGTATCCAGACCAGCGCTTACACGTTTCGGTTCCAACTTTCCGCAGATGTTCCACTCCAAATTTGGATACCCCCGGTTAAAAAGGATGGTTTCTTGGATCCTACTAATGTGGTGAACCGGTAAGCCCAACCATCCCCAAGTCATCAGCATTTTGAAAAGGGTGGATCTCAACCATCCCCAGTCATGGTAGTTGTTGGCAGCCAGGGTTTACAATTGGGTTTACCCTCTGGTAATGACTAACATAGCGATAGAAAATCACCATGCTATTAATAGGTAAACCATCTATAAATGGGCCATTTTCCATAGCTATGTTAGTTTACCATTGGGTTTACCACATTAGTATCATATCACCTGGGCGAAAAGCGACGGGATGCTCAGCTTGACTGTTTTTATGATGCTGCCGGATATTTTCGTCGGATTGACTGGCATGCTACCCGTAAGTTTGCTGCTTCCTGTGCGGAAGCTAGGACCTTGGCTTGTGGTGCCACTTTCTCTCCTGCTGCTCTTGGTGGTCGGATGCCTCATCGTCCTTCCACCAGTGCATTTGGATGGTTGCACTGAACTTGGCACGTTTGATCGCATTGCTTGGGAGTGTCCTCGTCGCCCTTGTAACATTCCTAAACCTGCCGAGTTTTTGTCTTCTCGGTATGTTTGGGTCGTTACAAATCAAGTTTGTGACATTGATGCTGTGCATGGTTGGTTGGTTCATGTGCAAGAGACGCTTTGGTCCCTTGTCCATCCATGACTTGTGCTTGTTTGTATCATGGTCCTAGTCACCTTCCGGTTTATTGGTCTTGCCCACTTGCACACTCTTTGGGGTTGCCTTGCCTTCGTGGGCTTCCCCTCTGGGTTTGGCTTGGTTTGTTCGGGTCTTTGCCCCCTTGGTTTCCTTTTGCGGTGTTGGTTGGTTTTTCGCTGGGCTGTTTGCACCTTTGGTGTGGTCTGGGCGCCTTGGCCGCCATGGAGTCGTTTGTTCCCGTTGGGCCTTTGCCCTCGGTGTTCTTGGCGTGCTTTCGTGGTGGGCTGCTGTGGCTGCTGCTGTGGCTGCCCCCTCGCTCTGCGCTGTCTATTTGGGGGCAGTTCAGATCAAAGTTCACACATCACCTGGGCGAAAGCTAAGGTATTTTGTCAGAGTGCCATTGAAAGTGCAGAGAAGGCGCGGTAGCATCGATGGGACCGGTGCTTGGATCAGTAAACCGCAAAAAATCATTGATTTCACTGTGATTTCACTTGCACAACTTGGGGTTTAAGCTATACAATATAACAAGAGGCCTGTGACCGGCAAATCTGGTGAACTGTCCCATGGTGGCAGAATCAATGGGAGACACTCCAGAATCTGGGACTTGTATTTGCCTCGGGAATTCATCCGGAACTCATTCACATCATGTTGCCCATGATGATCTTTCATGGGTATGGGTCAGTTCAGCTAGCCCATAGTTGGTGTAGGGGAAGACAACTTCTAGCCACTATCTGTGGGGTAAAAACAATCGTTTCCTGCCTAATACCCCTTCGAAATCAATCTATTGGAACGATGTGCATTCCACTTAGACTTGGTAAGTGGTTCAAAAAGTCCAATATAAGCCCTATATACAAAATAGTTATGTATATATTCACACTATCATATAATATGATACAATACAATATATTATACAATGCAATACAATATAATACAATATAATATAATATGATATGATATGATATGATATAGTATTTGATATAAAATAATATGATATGATATAATATAATACGATATAATATATATATACATATCCACACATGTATGTAAACTGGGGATATTCCACATCTAGCTTGGTGAAAGTTTCTGGTTCATCTGACCACAGCACGTCCCAGGGGTGACCGTGCCATTCGTTTGGCTTCAGGATCACGAGCTGAATCTGGAATCCGTCCAGAGCGAGAACCTTGACATTGACCATTCACGGTTCGGTTCACTCTTCACATCGCTGGCCTTAACGGGTTTCCGGGATGACTCCATTTTTTTTTGATATTTCACTGCACTTCACTGCATTTCTGGATTGTAATCATAGGTATTAGATAGGTATTTGATGGTATTTGAACCATGAATTTGACGAGAAATTTCTGCGACGGGAAACTATCCATCAGGATATCCATCAGTGAAGCATCAACCATAGGGATTCTGAAGCCTCCAAGTGACTGGCTTGGCCAACGATCAACTTATCTTGGTGAGTTTGGTCACCGTGCCCGCTTAAAAAAGAAAGTTTTTGTTGGTTGGGTAATTTTTCGAAAAAATGTGGTTGTACCAGTTATAGATGTGGTTATACCAGATATACTAGTTATACTATGTTATACCCTTCAATATTAATTGGAGATTAGAATCCATGAGCTGGGAATCCCTTTCTGAACCAACCAGTTTTTCCAACTTGCAGGTCCGAAAAGCTGGCTATGGCTGGCTCTGGTGGTGGTTGGGTTAGGGGTCAAAATCCATACTACCATACTTGAAAAGATGCATATCCATTTATCAGCTGTTTTGATGTTCACCAAGGGCACAGGGTTTTGACCCATCCCCAGATGTTTTTCTCAATGTTCCATCCTACTTCAGCCATTCCGATCAAGCGAGGGGCACCTTCCAGCTGGTTGGTGGGTTTTTCGACCAATAGCCCCCGTTCTCTCTCATTCGCTTGTCCCCATGGAAATTCTCTCTGGGGAGGTGATCAAATTCAATGTTCTGGGAAGAATCAGCCCAGGGGTATTTAGTTGCCGTCTTTTCTCCGGATCTGATGCGATTCTTCATACCTCTATGAAATGGGATCATCATCTTGCTGTGACGTCATCAGCTACTGCAGTGGGATTTGAGGTGGCATGGGAAGGTGGAACTCTTCACCTTTACATGGAAGACTCAGGCAGCTTGCTGCTTCATCCAAGTGACACCCGTGGCCCTTGCCACGTTGCCGAATTGTTTGGAGGATTGGGTGGATGGTCAGTGTCGGCCAATGAATTTGGTGTGCAGCCCTTGATTGTGGTCGAGCGTGACTCATGTGTTGCGCAGGCCTTTGCCAAGGCCAATCAGTGTGAGGTGATCAGCTCGGAGTGTTTGCTGGATATGGCCCTTGCCGGTAAGATCCACTCAACAATCGTAGTTGAATCATGTGTTGGTTGCATGAAACTTTGGGAAGCCTTCGGTGTCCTCAATGTGAATTATGCTCTAGCTAGTCCTCCTTGTCAACCGTGGTCAGGTGCAGGTATGGAACAAGGTTTGGATAGTGAAGATGGAAAGATCTTTGGAACTGTTCTCCACAGGGCAGGTCAGATTCATTTGAGGGCCATGCTGGTGGAAAATGTCCCGGGTATTGTTGCACACCGTGATTTTCCCAAGCTTCTTGCAACTGCCTCCATTGAAGGGATGAAATGTGTCATTGCCGGTGTACATAGCTGCTCGAGGGTTTTGCCGCTGTACAGAGAACGTTGGCTCGCCACCTTTGTACATAGCAGCTTTAGCATTGATCCGGAATGTGTACAGGCTGCTGATGCGATCTCCGTTGCATCCGAGGGTTTTGAACCACCTGGCCCATCCTTAGCTGCATCCGATGCTGTACATCCGGTAGGATCATCTGCCGATCGTGTGAAATTGCAACCGTCGCCTGAAGCCATGCATTTCATGACTAGGTCTGACATGATTCCAACATGGATGGTAGACAAGATCAATTGGACTGTGGACCGGCCGATCTTTCATGCCAGACTCATTTCCAGAGACAGCAAATTGAGCTGTGTCATGGCAAGGTATGGTAGCCAACACAAGTTGCCAGAAGACTTGCTCAGAAAGAAAGGCCTCCAGACAATGTTGTATGATGACAATGGCACTGCTAGGTACTTTTGCCCTTGGGAGATCCTCAGTGCTCTTGGATTCCCGCCACATGTGCATATCTCTTTCGATTTGCAGCAGGCATTTCAGCAGGTGGGCAATGCCATCAGCCCAGTTCATGCTTGGATTCAATTGGCCAAGACTCATGTTCTGTTGGGACCTTTATCTATGTTCAGGGTAGGAGTGGATAAGTCGGTAGTGCTGAAGTCCATTCTTGCTAAAGCGATCAAGCTGTCGGCTTTCCAACCTGACTTTGATGGTTCACTTGAGTTCTTGAAGCCAGTGGTTGAAGAAATTGAGGATGATCTCAGTCCGCAGCCCAAGCGTCCCAAGACTGGAAGCGTCGCGCCACCTGAGGTATCTCCAACAATTACGTTCAAGATCGACGCTGGTGGCAGCGCTGAAGTTGGTACAGCGCACAGAGATGTTGAGCCACGGTTTGTGATCGACAAAACCAATGTCACCGCATTGCATGGTTTTTGCAAAGGTGGTATCATGTTCTTCAAGCATTTTCAAAACAATTGGTTGATGGTGATTCATGGGTCTGTTGATGAGAAGTTGGGTTCTTACGTCTGTAGAGCTCTACCTCATGCCACGATTTCCCATTTCTTGGCATTCCAATGCAGAGGCAAAGAGGTGTTATGGGACGAGGTTCTTACTTTTGCTCCCCCTGCCACGGTCACATTTCAGCCACAGGAGATTTCAGTCAACTGTGCATTGCCTGGGGAATCTCAGGTAACGTTGAATGCTGATGTGACATGGACCATTCGCACTGTCCTTGCCTTTCTGGGGGCTCATTTGAAATGCAATGTAGATGCACTCAGGGTGTATTTTCAGGGTCTCCCAATCAATGAATGTGACTTTGTCACGGAATTCAAAGATCCCAATTTTCAGTTGCAGTTCAAAGCTTGCCAGCCTGGATACACTGCTTTGAGCCTCAATCACGAGACAACAAAGGAAGCAGGAATGATCCCTGCACACAATGGTTGCATCCGTTTTGTTGCGAAGCATCCGGCCCATAAGATCATGCGCTCCACATGTGTGACTGCACCAGCATCAATTGCATCCGTTGTGCGTACACTTTTCCCGGACCTGTGTGCTTCGGTCACTTGGACTGTTCATGTACAAGGTGTGCCAGTTAGCCCGGATGCACAGGTGAATGTCGACACCGAGTTTGTCATTGAGTGGGACTGTTTCAAGCCACTGGCACCAACCCATGTGATTGCTGCAAGTTTTTCACTGCCAGTAGATTCAGCGCAGACTCAAATGAAATTTCACAACAGCCCACAGAGATGGATTAGGTCTCCTTTTCGTGCAAAGGCTCAGATCCTGCGTACGCGGGAAGATGTGCCTGTCATGCAAATAGCTGCCAGCTTTGTTTCCCATGCACAACTCGACATCACGCTGACATGTCATTTGGGATCACGGGTGATTGACCCAACAACCATTCTCAAGGACATTTCGACGGAAGAAGTCATTTGCTTCAAAATTGCACCGCTGCTTGGTGGTGGTAATGCCGTGTCTTTTTCCAAAGGTTGCCAGCCTACAGGCTGCAAGGGTATTGGATTCCGTTGTGAAGCCATCCAGGGTTGCACTTTCACATCGCATGATGAAAAATACCACAAACATGGGGAATGTGGGCCACTCCCCTTCAGATTGCCCACGAAGAACGCCAATTGTGCTGCTGTGGTGGATGATGGTTTCTCTGGGGAATGTGGGCCACTCCCCTGCAAATTGCCCACTGAGTTGTCTGGTGTGGATCAGGTCTCGGAGGTGGATGGAACTTCCTGGGAATGCGGGCCACTCCCATGCAAATTGCCCGTGCTGCTTGATGTGATTGGCTGCAGTGATGGTGCTGTTGGTGATTGTGGGGAATACGGGCCACTCCCATCCAAATTGCCCGGTTGCACTACTGTTGGTGCCGACATCAGAACTGATGGAAAAACCGGGGAATGTGGGCCACTCCCCTACACATTGCCCACGTCTGATTACAATGGTGATGACAGTCATGTGAGCTCCAAGGTTTTTGTTTGCGCAACTCATCCTTTCAAAAAGCTTGCCAAAGTAGCGTGTGTCCCCGTGGTTGCTGGTCATGAGGAAATCATTTTGGCACTCTTTCCAGACTTATGTCACGCCTTGCCTTGGAAAACGGTTGGCTCAACTCAGGGCTTCCCATCTGCAAGTGTATTGACAGAGACTGGAACATTGCACATCCAATGGGGATCTTCCAGGATTGTTGAGACAGATGTACGGCAGTGTACTGTGGCCATGCGTGAAACGCAATGGAGCTACAAACCTTTGCCTGACCGACTTTCCATGTGGATCAAGACGCCCTTCAGAAACAAGGCAATTCAAGTTTGGCTTGACCCTGAAATGACAGTTGCCCAAGTTGCATGTTTGGCCTGCATGGATTCATGCGCATGCTTGGCTATTACTTGTCATGCCGGTAGCTGCCTACTTGATCCAGCCTGCACCGTGAAGTGCATTGATGATGGTACGATTTTGAGTTTCAAGACAGGGGTTCTCACCGGGGGAGCCAAGAAGTTGCAAGAGGCAGTCAAATCAAGAGTCATGAAAGTACTGGAGGTTCATGGTGTCTTCAAAGATGCATCGGCTGACCGGGCAGGGGTGAAACCATTGCCAAGCATGAGAATGCATCCGATGAAGATTTCTGGAATGCCATCAAACATGAAGCCAACAGAGTGCACTTTCGTTTGGTGTATCGTAATGAGTTGCAACAGTACAAAAAAGATGAGCGGAAAAAGCCTCCGGCTAAGCAAAACAAGAAATCCAAGAACTTTCCGAAAAAGGAGGAATTTGAAGTCACTGCGACAAATGTCACCATTGACATCAAACACTTCAAGGATGGAGAGGATGCAGTTGACAGGTTGGAATCATCTAGATTTGGCCCAGACCAGAGTGGGCTTGCTGTCATGACGTTAGAAGAGGCTGATCGTCATTGTGCCAGTTCACCTATTTCCATGGATGCTCTTGCCATTCTGGTTGTGGGAAGACATTTTGGCCCCAATGATGATCCTTTCATGTTGCCAGCCTTTTCCAACATTGGGGAACCCATTATCATTCGAGCTGCGCTGCGACAGTTTGGTGACCGCCCTGTCAGCTTTAAGGCTGCCATCCCAAATGCTGAAGTTGGAGGATCAGCATCAACTGTCATTGAGTTGCACATTCTGAGGTCAGAGGTTGGTGTCTGGAAGGAGTGCAGTGTGCCACTTCATTACCTGGGGGTGCACATTTCTGCAGTGAGAGGATCATCCTTGATCGCGACATGGTCCATGAAGACATGGAAAAACACACGGCAGCCTGCCCCTTTCAGGGATGCTGACTATTGGCATGGATTTATCCGAGTTTCAGATGACATTTTGGATCAGGTATTGAGCCGTTCTGGACATGCTGGCATCTACGTGTCACCGCGTGACGAGAACAGAAGGCATGATGAACGTTTTGCAGTTATTGCCATGCCTGACTGCGCCCTTCAGGATGCTCAGAAAAAAGCTGCGGCATTTGACAAAACTTTGGGAATTGTGCATCTTCGTGACCAGTTTGGTATCAGATGTCGCCGTGAACATGCAGCCAATCTACGTGCAGCCTTGCTCCCTGAATCAGCATTTGTTGCCACGGAGGGTGTCAGGTCTGATGATAACATATGGGTTCTCAAAAATGTGCCCCCTTCAGTTGGAAAGGACGGTTTAAGCGAAGCACTGGTTCAATCTGGATGGGAGGCTCAACCAGTACGAGCCCAAGGTCACAACCGTTGGCTGGTAGCAGCAAAGTCAGAGCCGGACACACGGCACTTTTGCATCAATGGCTCATACGTTTTGGTTGAACCAATCAAGAGATCAAGAGAAAATGGAGCGGTAACCATTACTGCAAAGCAAGTGAAAGTTGATGCGCTCATGAACCCTTCTACAGGGGGAGTACAGATTGCAGCCACCACAAGGATCCAGGAGGTCCGGGCTGAAATCTCTGACCAGATGGAGATGAAAATGCAAGTGGCAAACGACAAGATTGCACAGTTGTCGAACACCATTGAGAAGATGCAAGCAGAACAAATCATTAAGGAACAGGAAACCAGAAATGAACTGGCCATGGTTCGCAATGAACAGGCATTTGCAAAGCAAAAGATTTCTGAAGTTGAGGCAAGTGTTGTTCAGAGCGGGCAAACGGTCATTCAGACCATGCAAGCAATGATGTCTCAAATGCAGTCATCAATTGAAACTTCCATGAAACAAATGCTGCAAGGCAACATTGCTGAGGACGGAAAAAGACACAGATCTGATCAGCCTGGAAGAAGTGACAGTTTTTCCACCAAGGGTTGACAAATGCGGCAGGGTAAGTCAGCAGGGAGGCTTATCGACGCCTGCCTTTGGTATGTTTTCCTTGCAATCTCCTTTGTTGCCACCGGTGCATGCTGTTTTAACAGCAGCCAGGTTGATGACTCATCCAATCCCAAAATCGATGTCTTTTGCATGGATGGTTGTACTGTCTTGCCTGCGTACAACACTGCAATAATGAGTTCCTTGCACGATGGGGTTTTGTCAGACCCTTCTCCGTGGATCTTGCATGCATGTCGTGTGGGTGAAGCTGACAATCCAGGTCCCTTGCGCATTGGCACATTTAATCCTCATCAACTGTACAACAAGGAAGAGGTAGTTGCTGAATGGGGACCGGGAATTTGGACGGCTTCGGAGACTTCCCATACTGTTGATGCCATGAAGGTTTCTGCTTGTCGGTTTTAAAAAATGAACCTCTTTAGCATGTGGAGCCCTCCGGTTCAGAAACACACCAGCAATGCCGGGATGATGCGTGGTAGAGCCTCAGGTACATGTGTGATTTCACATTTAAGGCCGAAGCCGTACCCGGCTGTGAGCTCAGAAGTGGTCAAGCAGTCTTCCAGGGCTACCGAGTGTCTTGTGGACGTTGGTAATGGCACACATATGTATGTAGCATCGCTGTATGGCCCCACTCACACAAACACCTTCTTTGATCCCTGGTCCTTGTTGTCATCTATTTGCACGGAGGTTTTTGACCATGCTATGGCATTCAAAGGTCCTGCTGTGGTGATGGGTGATTTTAACGTGAATATTGAGCAAATTCCCAGATGGGCTGCTCTCCAGCGCTTGGGATGGGTTGATGCAGCTGCCTTTGATGCTTGTCGACGCAAAGTTGACCCAAAACCCACGAGTAAAGATCGGGCCAGGAAATCATTCATACTGGTTAACCCACTGCTTGTTCAGGCGTTATTATGGTGTGATACGGTGGAGGAATTTGAATTTGACGCACATCCACTTTTGGCTGCTGATCTCAACACCGAGGTGCTCATGCAACCCATCACCAAGTGGTGGCTGCCTTTTTCCACTGACAACTACATGTTTGACCATGATCTCATGGATGAAAGTGCAATTGCTCAGACCAGAACCATGTTCACCAGGTTTCAGGGAGCGATGGACAATAAGGACGGAGAAGAAGCCTTGAGACAGATCAATTTGGCTTTTGAAAACTGTTTGGTTGACTCATGCGTTGACTCAACAGGACAACATGCATTTCTGCCAAAGAAATGCCTCGGGCGGTGTAGCAAGGGCACAGCTCGGAAAGTAAGGCCTTCGGCTCCTACTATCAAGCATGGTCGACAGGGGGATTTCAACCCACCCATTTGCCAGGGAAGCATGATAATTCGAAACATGACCAAACAGGTGCGCAGACTCAACTGTTTAGAAGCACAACTCTCTGCAGGGATCAAACGTGGCTGTGCTCAGCCATCACAGCAATGTGCTGATCTGTGGAAAGCCATCCTTGAGGCACGTGGATTTCATCCGAACTTCCAACAGTTTGTGCTTGCAGTGTTCGGTGTTTTTGTCCCCTCTCTTTGCCCCGGACTTGAGTACGTTCATTACCTTGCTGGTATGACTAAAATTCATGTCCAAGGGATTGTTGCGGAGACCAATAAGAATCTTCGTTTTGCCAGAGAATGCAAGATGTTGAAGGATGTTCAAAACGGAGGGTCACAGGCATACAAAAGTGTGCGCGATCAATCAGCGCCGCCCTTTCAGGCAATTTTCCAGGAAGTTGCGTTGCAGGTTGTTCCACAAAAATGGCCGAAAGATGGACGCAACTGTTTGAAAGTTCAAGGGGATGTGTCATGCCTTGATTTGCAGTTTCCTGTGTATTTCCAAACGCAAGAATGTTTTGTTGTCGGGGTTTCCAATCAACACCTGCACTTGGACAGACATGTACGGTGGAAGGATGCCAATGACTGGAGACTGACACAAAAGAAGGTCATAGCTGAACCGCAGGCATTGATTTCACTCACAGGTCAGGCATGGTCGGAGATGTGGCTTCGTGACCCCATTGATGACTCTGATGAAAATTGGAATGATGCATTGGGATGCCTGAGATCCCTACATGACTTCCCGAGTCTTGATTTCACTCCGTTGGATCCAGTTGCATGGAAGAAACATGCCGCTGGTGTTAGCCGTAAAAGTGCACGTGGGTCTTGTGCCTACACCGCACGTGAGCTGTTGTTGATGCCTGACTTGATTCTTGCATGGTTGATTCAATTTCTTTCTGCAATTGAAGAAGGCCAATTCCAGTGGCCGAGATCTCTCATGCTTGCGAGAGTTGTGATGTTGGCCAAAACACAGGACCAACCTGTTGACCCTTTGCAAACCAGGCCAATAACGATTGCTTCCAGAATATACAGGAATTGGGCTAAATACAGATCAGCTCAGATCATACAACATGTGAGTGGATTGCTTCCGCCACAAATTGCTGGCACTGCGTCCGGAGTCAGTGCTGACCTCCTATCCGCCTCACTTCTGTGGGATATAGAATGCGCGATGCAAGCCAACAACCCTCGTATGGGGGTAACTGTTGATCTCCTCAAATGTTTTAACATGATTCCACGTAAGCCTGTTCTCCATGCCATGCGTAGGATTGGGGTCCCCGTTCAGTTTACTACGGCTTTGGAATCCATGTTTTGCCAACTGCGTAGGGTGCTCGATGTTGCAGGTGAGGTTGGTGATCCACTGCAATCATCAACTGGTGTCCCTGAAGGGTGTGCCATGTCCATTATTGCCATGTTGTCTCTTACTGCTTGGATGTCTGATTTCATTCAGCTGGCAGTTGGCGCAGATTCGGCAGTAGTGTTAGCATATGCAGATAACTGGGCATTTCTGGCGAACAACTTGAAGGACTTGAGCACTGGTTTAGAAGCAATGGAAAAAGCAGTTGCAATGTGGAGAATGCGCATTTCCACGGATAAATCATGGGCTTGGGCTACGCATGCTAAGCAAAGAGTGGAACTCTCATCTCTTAGGCTGAATGGTTGTCAGATCCCATCCAAGCTTGTGTCAGAAGAGCTTGGTTGCGACATTTCATACTGCCGCAAGGTGAGCAAAAAGGTTTCGCAAAAAAGGATTGCAAAATCGACAAGGGTGATGAAACGTGTTGCAACCAAAAAGCTACCACAGAGATTCAAAACAGTCATGTCCAAACAGCTTGTTGGCGGCATTTCAGGTTATGGCAGTGAGCTTGTGTACCACACAGTGTCTGACCTTAGAACTCTCAGAACTGCAGTTTGCAATGGTCTTGGACGTTCCCGCGCAGGTAACAACCCTTATTTATCCACTCATGTGACGCCGGGTGTTGAGGATGTTGCTACCTCGTTGCTGCTGCGTAAACTGTTTTTCTGGCGCCGGTTTTTTCGCATTTTTCCTGGACACAAGGACAAATTTTTACAGATGCTGGTACTGGGAACACATAAGATTGGTGCCACCGCCTTTTTGAGGAGGACTCTGCAAGATCATGGTTGGAAGTGCAAACCTGGTGGAATCATTCAACATGACAGGGGTTGGAAAATTTGTTGGACCAGCTGTAGTAAACATGTACTGCGTAAGTTGATGGCTTTTTCATGGTCGGCGGTGGTGTGCAAACATGTGCACCATAGAAAGGATTTCGACATTGAGGGCATTGATGTCAAGGCTTTTCATGCTTCCATGAGCGCATTGGAGGATGGTGCTCGATCGCATGCTCTGAATCTTGCCACAGGGAAGCATGTCACAAACGAAGCGCTTGTTCATTACTCCAAAGGTGCCACTTCAGATAAATGCCCGTTGTGTGGTGAAAGAGACAGCCGCAGCCACAGGGTTTGGGACTGCGCCAAGACGGAAGAGATCCGTCGAAAACGTCCCAAGCTGATGGCTTGGTTGGAGCAGCAAGACATGGCTGTTAGCTCATGGGGTTTGATTCCTTTAGACTTCTCTTGGATTGATTGGCGTTTTGACTGCAACCCTAACATTCCTCAGGTGATTTGTAAGGACCATGATTTGGGTAGACGGGAGATTGCACAAGTTTTTACGGATGGAAGTGCGGTTGGTCAAAATCTTGTTGGCTTTACGCTTGCATCGGCCGCCTATGTCCAATGTACTGATTTCACAATCATTGCAACCTGTGCTGAACCCATGCCCGGAAATGATCATACATCTTACAGAGGTGAAATTTGGGCGCTCATCATTGCTTTGCGTGATTTTAGGCTGGTCCATGTTTACACGGATTGTGCTGCCGTTGTCTCCAATCTTGTCGCTGCCATTTCTGCCAGGCAAACCGGAACCCAACCGAAGTTTTCAGATCATGATGATTTGTGGGGAATTGTTTGGGAATTGATTTCAAACCGTGATCCTGGTTCGGTGTGTGTCACGAAGGTAAAGGCCCATCAAGACATCACTTCCATTGCAGATCCCTTTGAACGATGGCTGTGCTTCATGAACAATCAGGCTGATAGTTTGGCCCGCAAATGTCTGCATGCAACATGGAAAGGCTTGGTCAAACAGGTTCAAAAACGCTCTGACCAGCGTAGTCAGGACATTGAGATGTTGAGAGAATTTCATATGATGTGGAATGAAATGAACGAAGCAGCCATTTTGGCGAGCAAAACCCAGGTACCCAGTTTCGGAAATGTTGTGCCTATTTTCCAGGTCTCCTTTGATGAAATTCAGGCGGTCAGGGTCCCATGTTGTGTCTCCGCTGATGCAATTGGTACATGCAGATATACTGCTGAGTTTGCTAAAAGAGTCTGTAGATATTTCCATGATTTGGAGTGGGATTTTTCACAGCCGAATGTGTCATGTCTTGAAGTTTACATTGATTTTACTTTGTGGACTGGGACGATTGCGCCTTGTCTCATGGACAAGCAATCACACACTTACAAATTACCTGACATGTGCACTTTAGCTGATCTCAAAAACGCTTCCCTTAGAGATCAAAGCAGAGTGTGGACTAAAACTCTTGCATGGCTACGTAACAATTGTGACACCGCCCCAGCTGCTCCAACAAGAGGTTGCGTATCATTGGTAAAGCTGGGGTATTCCCAACAACATTATGGATTGAGAGGCATGCCACGGTTTCGATGTGGTAAGCGTGTGCTGCAGACTCTTTGGGAGTATTTCCATCCGGAGCAACGTTCCACCAACTCCAGGAGTGGAAACCTCAATCGTAAATATAAGGTCACAACACCTTCCCTGGGTGGCGCATAGTTAATTAAATGGGGTCACTCTTTTCCAACAGGAGTTTTTGCCTCGCATCCGTGTATCCGCATGCATCATCATCTAATTTAGTCAATTTAGTCCGGTAGTCACTGCTGGCGAGTCACGTTCTGCATGGTTCACAGTTAGGACGCTATAAGCCGCCTAACTCTGAGGCCTAACATAGGCACGCGAGTCCAAAGGTCCAAAAGTTCCATTCTACTTCGGATGATCAAAATTAAGACACTCATATAGAATCTTCCAGCGAAGAATAGATTTTTCAGGGCGGCCATGGTTTTCGACACATGATCAAACACTTTCTGGTTGTTTTTTTCATCTGTTGTGTAGAGCGCACCCTTCGGTAATCAAACATGGCCATGGGATATCCTCGCCCAGGAGGCTGGTTATCCCAGCCGCATCCCCCTTTTCGAACGCCCAGGAAAGAGAAGTATTTCCGCGCCGTGCGGCGGCTTTTCACCCAGCTGGATGAGAACTCGGACGGAGGTGTGGAGAGTGGATGCAATCTGCAGGCATATGATGATTACCAATTATACATATATATATATATATTCCACATATCATATGAACTGTGTATATATATATATATACACACATATGTGTATATAGACACTGTATGTAGAATGTGTCCATATGAACTTTTATGTGTTCTGCATCTGAATTCATATACTTATGTGTATATATGTATATATGTACATGTATTCATATAGACACTTTGTTAGAGTATATGTATTTGTGTAGTAAAAACCTCGATGATTCTGGAGATGTGAAGGTGATGTGAACATGTCTTCTCTCGAAGACCGTCGTGCGCATTCGTTCAGCGCCCCCAATGACCCACCTCCCTTGGTGGTCCTGGATCCTAACGGCTTCAGGTGCAATCACCTGATCACAGGCAACCTACCATGATTGATAGGTTGGGGCCCCTCTACTTGACTTAGATTTAGATATGAAGATGTTTTTTGCCTGCAAATTCGGTTCTTCCGAACACAAGATGTGGTTGGGGCGCTCTTGAAATCATCCATGTCCATATTTGGAAGTGCGATCCCTTTATTTTTGTTGTCTGGAACTCTAGGCCTCTAGGCTCAACCCTCCCAGACCTGGTTCATCCTGGTGCCAGGTATCACCAAGAAGGAGTTCGAACGCGCCTGGAGCGATCCTGTGCTTCAAACTGCGCCTCAGCTGCCCAAATGGGGATTGCGAAGCTGGGGTGATTTCCAGTTGTCGGTTAAAGAGTTAATAATGTGACATCCACACTTTTTGGTTGACTCAATTGTTGTTGGCGAAACAGGTACAATATCCAAATCTACAATTTTTGCGCCCGCAATAATTGGGAAGTATGGGGATTTGTTTTGAGGTTGTTTTTCTGTGAAATGGGGGACCGCTTCCAAAATCGACGGGCTTTTCCTGTAGAAATTAAGATTAGCATCTTACATAGTATGTTTCACCTCAGACGTATCATCTAGGTTTAGTTCCCACAGATACTATGGTTACATTTAAGTATACCAAGCAAAGCATTTTTTTCACCATTTTCTGCATACCATCTGGTTTTTAAACATAGCTATGGAAAATCACAATTTTGAATGGGTAAACCAGGGATGTTTATCATCTATGGATGGGCAATTTTCCATAGCTATGTTGAACAACTAGAGGGTATATAATATATACATATATATAATATTATGACCATAAGATGGTAAGTAAGTATGTCACATGTTTTACATGTAATGTATTTACCAAGTAAACCTGTATGTTCACCATCGGTTTCCATTTTTTACCTATCAATCTCATTAAGTCCAACTAAATCCAATTTCTCATCATTAAGTATACTATATAGCTAAGTACACCTAGACATATTCACAAACAGCTTTCCATTTTTTGTTGCCCATCAGGGTAACAATATCGTGTTTCACCTCAGTTTTTCCCAGAAATCCCAAAATGAAGTCAGTCCCAAGAATAACGCCAAAGGACACTGTAGCTATAGCTATCATCAATGGATTGGTTTAAGGGACACTTTACAGGAACCCCCCATATTTAATGGGAACATCTACTGTATGGTTTCCGGTTAAGATTTTCCCTTAAACCAGTCCATAGATATCCCAAATATCCGTCCCCAAAAATAGCTATAGATATCCCAAAAAATATCCCCAAAATATCACTATAGACACTATAGTCCCAAAAATAGCTATCGAAAATTCTCCCCATGGCAGGTCTTTGATGCCTTGGAGATCAGCAGTACGGATGCCTGGGATCTCTTTCGCCCCCTGGCAGCAGGGGCAGGGAACATTTGGATCCGAAGATTCGGAGTTTGAATGGAAAAAACACCGGAAAAACCGGAAACATCTGGGAGTTTGATGGATTTTCGATGATTTTCTTATTGTTTTCACGGAGAAGTCAGAAAAAGACAGACATGACATGGAAGAATTGGCAGAAAAATGGATCAGGGATCCAAGTTGCAGACCATTTTACGATTTTTTTTCCTGGATTGTTTGACCAGCGCTTTAAAGACCACGAATGGCAGACCAAGATGATTCGAAAGCGTCGATAAACAGCGAAGCGAAAAGGTGTGTTGCAGACTGTTGGGGGCTCCAACTTACCGAACCAGGCCTAGGGATGTCTGGAAATTACCCAATTTTCAATTCCAGGCCTCAAACACATTTGCAAAACGAATCAAAACAACAAATTGCTTGGTGAAAGTTGAAGCGTTCCCTGTATATACTTACTACATACTATATCATACTATATCTATTGTGCTTTATCTGTATGGTAACTGATCACTGATATATATATATATATATATATATATGAAAAATTACACATACTACCCCCAAGTAGATAGAACATAGTGATTTATGCACACCATACACACACATACATACATACACATATACTATACAACAATATATATATATATATACACACATACTTAATATACATACACTATTCCATGTCCAACTTCCCCTCGGGGTGAGATTCGTCAGGACAGCTGGACCGTGACGGTAGCGGCGAGGTGGATGTGGACGAGCGGCCTGCCGCGGTTAAATTGGTGCGTACGTTTTACTATGGAGATATGTATGAATATATGGAATATATGTATTACATCGGATGAACATCTATAAAGATTGTATATTACATATGATCAATATATACAGTGTATATATATATACATATGAAGATTTTTCGTATATGCTGGTAGTTTAAACCTTTTCCCACACAAGGATGGTGGCAAGCTGTCTTGATCGCCTGGTGGGTGGGTTAAAACTGAATGGGTGAAGGGACAGGATGGGTATTCCTTGAGATTTAACCATGAAGAATACTGATTCGATGGGATTTTTCAGCATGAACACTGGGGATTACAACTTTGTATGGGTGGTCCCATTTTGAATTTATCCAATACGATCTCGTTCGGGAGGTATTTCATGTTAGGGGGAAGGTATTGCACTTCCATAAAAACTTGGTCATTTATATAGACTATTGGTGCTTCCGACTGTCCCATTGTTTTCTGAGTTCATGGCATCACTTTTTGGTGATTGTGGCCTAGCTGAAGTCGTTCCACATTCGCCAGGTAGCCTCCAGTGTCATCAAACGTGGCAAGCTGGGAAACCCCCGCACTAAATGGAGATCTTAGTGGGATTTGACTACTGGAGGGTGCCAGAATGTCTTCTAGGCTTTGACTGTACCTGTTTTTTGTCGCATCTCCATAGTCTCAAGGTCAATTCCCCACATTTTTGAGAGTGATCTCCTTAACTTGACCAAGCTGTGCCGTTCCCCTCAACCAGTTGAGGTTTCTGGAAGGCTGCATGATGATCAAGGGCCCTGCTCGGTCCATTGATGTGGTGTGCATCAAAAAGGACCATGGCGGGGTCTGTGGGTTGCCATAGGGTGCCGCTGATTCCAAGTTGTGTTATCACATATTATCATATATTATACCCTCTGGTAATTTAACATAGCTATTGAAAATGGCCATTTATAGTGGATTTTCCCATTAAAAATGGTGATTTTCCATAGCTATGTTAAATTACCAGAGGGTAACCATTTTTCCCGTTCGACTGGTCATGGCTTTTGGTATCCTCTTTCTGGGCAAACCCATACACCTGGTGAATGAAACCTGGCTGGCTGGAAAATTCCAAATGAAAGCTAAATGAGTTTCATCCGAAAAACATGGTATGCAAAAATTATATGACTATTCATGACCCACTGTAAGTACAGTCTGGATATCGCATGATAATGCGATGCAACCAGAAATCAAGGGCTTGGCTACGAAAAGCGCGCTTGATTTGGAGATTCATCCCACTTGGTAGCTTCTATAATCTTCTTTACACACCTGGACCTTCCAATGAGGATTCGTTTTCGCTTGCCTTACTGCTCGAATTGTATGAAATTGCGCTCCTGTGCACAACTGTGCTCGTTGTGCGCCTTGTGATTCCCGTTTTTGCTTGGACAACATGCAAACGCTCGTTCTGGGGAAAGTGCTGGTTTTATCCCAGAACGATCGAACTATTAAAGCCTGTGCCAATAAGGCATTCAGCAGAAATGTTGGCTCAATTGAAGGGCCAGGCATATACAGATACAAACCGCAAATGATGGCAATAGCTGGCAAATAACCGCATCCATGATCAGAGTCTGGCGACTTACTTTTCGAGGGTTATGAACCACTTACTTCGTGGGATGCTCGAAGTAAAACCCAGATTTGCCCGAACCCCCCCAACAATCCAAATGACTCGAATATGTTATAATATGTTTTATTGATTTTTATTGGCCAAAACTGAACTAACTGAAGTGGTGTTGACCCAGAATCTTCGATTGTTTCTAGCAATTATGAACCATCCATTGATCTTAGTAGATCCAATACGGGTCTGAAAACTCTCCTACTCGTACCACCCAAATGCTCAGACTTAGTAGCGAAAATGATGAACACTATGATATAATGATGAAACCTATGATATCAATGATGAAAACTATGATATACTGTAAATGATGAAAACTATGATATAAATGATGAAGACTATGATATAAATGATGAAAACTATTGTATACATGATGAAAACTATGATATAAATGATGAAAACTATGATATAAATGATGAGCACTATGATATAAATGATGAAAACTATGATATAAATGATGAAAACTATGACATAAATGATGAAAACTATGATATAAATGAAGAACACTATGATATAAATGATGAAAACTATGATATTAATGATGAGCACTATGGTATCAATGATGAAAACAATGATATCAATGATGAGAACTACGATATCAATGATGAAAACAATGATATAAATGATGAAACTATGATATAAATGATGAAAACTATGATATAGATGATGAAAACTATGATATAACTGATGAAAACTAAGATATAAATGATGAAAACTATGATATAAATGAAGAACACTATGATATAAATGATGAAAACTATGATATTAATGATGAGCACTATGATATAAATGATGAAAACTATGATATTAATGATGAGCACTATGGTATCAATGATGAAAACAATGATATCAATGATGAGAACTACGGTATAAATGATGAAAACAATGATATACATGATGAAACTATGATATAAATGATGAAAACTATGATATAGATGATGAAACCTATGATATCAATGATGAAAACAATGATATAAATGATGAGAACTACGATATAAATGATGAAAACAATGATATAAATGATGAAACTATGATATAAATGATGAAAACTATGATATAGATGATGAAAACTATGATATAACTGATGAAAACTATGATATAAATGATGAAGACTATGATAAACATGATGAAACCTATGATATCAATGATGAAAACAATGATATAAATGATGAAAACTATGATATAAATGATGAAAACAATGTTATAAATGATGGAAAACTATGATATAAATGATTAAACCTCTGATATAAATGATGGAAAACTATGATATAAATGATTAAACCAATGATATAAATGGTGGAAAACTATGATCCTCTGATATAAATGATGAAAACTATGATATATTTGATGAAAACTATGATATAAAAGATGAAAACTATGATATAAATGATGATACCTCTGGTATAAATGATGAAACCTCTGATATGAATGATGAAAACGATGATATAAATGATGAACACTATGATATAAATGATGAACACTATGATATAAATGATGAAAACTATGATATAAATGACTATGATATAAATGATGAACACTATGATATAAATGATGACAACTATGATATTTACTGATGTTTTTTTTTTGCGGGGGAGGTCACCTATTTTCGGACGGTCCAGGACCTCATGTTGTTGCGAGAAAAGTTGGGTTTACGAGACTGCACCTCGGCGGAAGGGAAGTACCAATCCTTTCGGGATTTATTATGGATTGATTATGACTTTGATTATTCCCATAATAGTGACTATTATTTTATGGGAATAATCAATCCATGATGTAACAATGTAGCCACTATGTTTGGATTCGCATTATGGAATGGATGACCATGAAACATACACCTGCAGCCTCCAACAGGCTGAAATTTGGGGCTGAAACCTTTTTGGGACGCGGGCTGTTTTTTGGCAGCATCAATTCAGGCGAGATTGCCAGGGTCAGGCAGAAAAAAGGTCTATATAAACGTCACATTCAGCAAATTCTAGCCTGAGGGTGCTCTAGGTATACCAGGTTTTGACCATGGCACATGTGTAAGTGAGGTATTGCTCCATACCTTTGCTTTCCAGGTGCTAAGTGGCACGGGATTATCCTCAACGATCCAGTTGCTATGGGGACTTGTCGAGATGTAAGTCTTCTACTGGAAATTATCGTTTTTGAACAGTTGTTTTTTCACCACATTATATATATATACATATATGTATAATACATTATAATACTGTATATTTATATATATATATATATATTGTAACTCCTCGAATTTCTTGTTGCGCAGCAAACGACCGCAGGCAACGGCCATTGCGACACTGCTCGCGTTTCACAATGACGGACGAGACGACAAGCATCAGACGCCCATGCGGCGAGTCGTTGAACGCCGCCGCCGACGTTTTGATAAAACCGCGGTGTCTCGGAAAAGTTCTTTGGGCTCCCAGAACTTGTTGAAGCTACTATGACCTTGAATACCCAGGAATATCACCAGAAAGTCTGGGAAAAAGAAGAATTTTGGTGTCAGCAGGAATTAGGATACATGATCAAGGCGGTTAGGGAAGATGGTAATTAGTTTGATTCGGAATGATGTGGATCAGGCCATTAGATAATTTATAGAACTTGATGGCAAACTGCAAATAGTGTCCGGAAAAATCAGCTCAATGGTTTTTTCACATCTCCCATTTGTAGATGAGGGGACTCAAACTCCATGGCGCCACGAGGATTTTCCTCGGAAATCATCAGATGATTTGGGAGTTCAGACTTTCTAAGCTTTGCACCTGACAGCAGTCGTTGCAGATTTTCTGCGATTGCTGCCACCGATCTGCGATGTGTTTTTTGTTGGGGGGACAAAGCGGTGGAGGTAGGCGATGAATGGAGATGGGGAATCAACACAGCGAAAACAGGGGTTTCGCAACATGGAGGTACCCCAATAGCTGGATGGTTTATAATGGAACATCCAAAAACAAATAGATGATTTGGGGATATTTGGGGGTACCCCCACTTTAGGAACCCCCAAATGGGTATGAACTCACAACACATGGTTCCAAAATGGCTCTCCAGCCAGCCACAGGTTGATCGGATCATCATATTTTCAACACGCCAGAGTTCCCATCTGGATAGGAAAATGGGCATCAACAACGAGGTCTTTTGATGTGAAAACCAGGGCGTGAGGGTTTTAGCCCCAGAACGCCACATGCTTAAAAAAGGCATCGAAAATTGCGATATCACCGCAGCCTTCACTGAACATCCACGCATATGGTGGGTCTTCAAGGATCTTCATTCAGGTTTAATTAACCGGTTTCTGCTTGGCGAAGTCGAGTCTTGGTCACTCCCAACTTCCACACATTTTGTGGTGAGACAGGCTAAGCCGTCTGCCACCGTTTTTTTGGTTTTGGATCACCTCTGGAGTGCACCTCTGGGGGCAAGCGACAGGCAATGGCTCAGCATCTTTTTGTTGCCTCCAAGATGGATAAGCTCAATCAAAAAGCCATCAGGTCCGAAACTGTTCACAAACCCTCCACTCCTATGACAATGCAACTTTCGTCAGGTGAAATCTAAGTCAACTGGATGCTCTCCCGTCGAAAGATCATTTATAGGATGATGTTTATCCTATAAATACTGTAAGAGGTTTCCATTGTCATGTTTGATTGTCCAAGAATCACATTTTTCAAGAAGATATGCGAGTAAACATGTATACGTAGACCCACATCTACCAGCTTCTGTTGCTGGTTGGAAGCACCTCAAAACCGTGTATTTCTTGGAGTCAGTGGACTTGACTTTGGCACTTCAGGTATCTTGGGTATTTCGGTGTACGCCATCATTACCCTCAAGTGATCAATAACCTGAGTTTGATTCAGTTGTCCCAGACTTTTCAGGTTTCCACACAGTGATCTGAACACCTAGAATAGTCCGTCAATTCGCAGCGTGCTAAAGATGTTTGACACCCGGCACTGCAGCAAGGGATTTCGGTCTTTACAGCCCCAAACAGTTGGGTATGGCGAGACTAAATGGGATAATTAATGTTAGTAGAGCAACACATCAGACCATCCCCAATTTTACAACAAATGGGTGCTAAATAAGCCATCAATCCATATGGATGACCTTAAAGGACCGCGTTTCTTGGCCCATTGCGTAAGTTGATGTGTTGATGTGTAAAAATCACCAAGCGATACCCGGAAAACCGCGGTTGATTATCATCCAATCAGCTGGGAAACCTTGTCAACCAGGAGCGCTTCGGGATTCCAACATATTCCAACTCTTTTTGTTTTTGAGGGCCATTGAAAAGCCATGAAAGTGATACCCCAGTTGGTTCATTTATTATATTTTTTGTAAGCGGGTTTTACTCTCCTACGTTTTTTTTTCCCCGCGGATCACGCACTAGTCCACAATCTGGATACTGATGAACCAACCATACTGTAAACCAAAATCAACAGGTATCATCAGGTATCATGGGATGTAAGAAAAACTGGGTCATTCGGCCCGAGATTCGCAGATTGCCGTGCCATCAAATCTGCGCGCTGCAGCCGAAGTTGCCCGACCTGTTCGAGGCAACAGATGTCAGGAGACCATTCGGCGAAGTGTTGCAGCTGAATTCGAAGTTCTATTCCTGGTTGATGGTTTCAAACATTTGTTATTTTCCATAATATCCATAATGTATGGGATAATCCTTCCCATTGACTTTTATATTTTTCAAGATGGTTAAAAACCACCAACCAGCTATGGTCCTGAAGAATCCATAGCACATGGTAACGAAAAAAATGCGCAAGCGCGCCTTTAGCGCTGGACACAACCCATACCCTCTGGTAATTTAACGTAGCTATTGAAAATGGCTATTTATAGTGAGTTTTCCCATTAAAAATGGTGGATCTTTCCATAGCTATGTTAAATTACCAGAGGGTATCGTGGACGAAAAACCCCAGTCACTCGTTCTTCGCTTTGGGCTGCAACCCTTCGAAGAGTTTCTATGGCCCCTGCAGAAACCGCCCTCTCTCCATGGCTGAGCCGAAGCATCACATTACGCCTGAGGTATGCCATATATGTATACAATTGTATATATATATATATGGAGATATGTATATATATATGGAGATATGTATATATATATAATTTACATATATACATATATACATATAGATAATAAGCACCAAACATATATATAGAAAAGTAGATCATCATCACCATAAAGAATCACTTTTCCGCCTGTTTGGGGACTCCTGTCTTGACGCACAGGGTATCTAAGATTAGCCACGTAACCTCCACCTCCTGTGCAACCGCTTCAGCCGTGCACCGTGGCGAGTTCCCCCGGGCGCTGCTCCACCGTGCCAAAATGAGAACGTTTCGGCCATGCGATGGCCGACGGGGGCTGAGAATTTCTTACCCATACCAAGAATCAATGGGGATATCAACTAGGACATATCTTGAATTACAATCCACTCAGTAACCCCTTCCCCCTTGATATCAACTATATTTCGATGTTGCCTTGAAACCCTGGTGTAGTTCATATCTGGTCATTTTTTTTGACCCATTCAAAGGGGTATTTCAGCGGATCAGTTCTCATGATCCTGGTTTTTCTGGCACCAAGTGGATCCGATATTTTCAACGCAAAAAGCTGTGTAAAAACACTTCCAGAACTGGGTTTGCAATCCTATAGTCTATTAGTTACCCTCTGGTTATGACTAACATAGCCATGGAAGCCATGGCCCATTTATAGATGGTTTACGGTGATTTTCCATGGCTATGCTAGACATAACCAGATGGTACTCCATTTTACTCCCATACATGGGCATAGTTCTTCCATTGCTGTTGGGTCGAACTATTTCAACCCCAATTTTCCGGGTGAAAGTCCACATTTTCTGGTGGTTTCCAAAATTATTCTGGTTGGTGGTTTGGAACATTTTTATTTTTCTATATATTGGGAATAATCATCCCAACTGACTCATATTTTTTCAGAGGGGTTGAAACCACCAACCAGTATTGTTTTCTTAACACTACCTGGTTTTGGCTTCGACCTCAAAGGAAGAAAATGCCACATCCCATTGAATCACCATAAAATCCGATGAAATCACCATATAATCCCATGAAAACCCATTAAAAATGGTGATTTTCCATAGTGGGTCATAGTTACCCAAAAGAATGGTTTACCTTTCGATACAAATCCTGTACAGTATCTCAATTCAAATCAACGGTGGAGATCGGTAAGCCCAAACTTGATGCTAAGAAACAATACAAATCGAACAACCACTTCCCTCTGGTTATTTAACATAGCCATGGTATAGATGGCCCATTTGTAGATGGTTTACCTATTAATAGCATGGTGATTTTCCATGGCTATGTTAGTCATAACCAGATGGTAATAGTATCGGTCACCCCAAAATTTGGTAAACTGGAAAAGTGCCTCAAAATTTGGACCCGGGAAAGTTGATGACTCGGTGCTGCTCTCCATTTTTCAGCCGCCTAGGCTGGGCACCCGGATTGGCTGCCGGTGCTGCTGGATGAACAGGGGCAGCAGGAGGGAAATGCAGTTTATGGAGCTTGGGAAATGATGGATCTAAGTGATTCTAAATGGATATAATCAACATAAATGGAGATGACAATTTCATTTGTTTATCACTTGTTTATCCATGTTTATCCCCAAAATGAGCTCTAGATATAATCATACATAGGGAAAAGGAAGATAAAGCATTGGATCTGGGCGAGTCCTACGTGTGGGATTTCAACGTGATCCATTCGGTGAGTGTGTCAAGTAATCCTACACTACATCATGCCATGCTGGACGAGATAGGGGTTCTAAAACTGCGAGGACATGTTTGTCTTGTAGCGCTCAACTAGTAGTCTCCAGCAAATGAACATCATATGGTATTCATCCAGCATTTATAGATGATTTTCCTACGTTGTCCCCATGGTTTTTTATGGGTTTTCCATATCTTTTGGTATGTCCAGAAAATCCGGCCCAAACCGCAACGCGGAGATGACCACAGGAGCCGTTCCTCTTGGATGACTTACCTGGCAAACAAGCGGTAAGAAGCTGAGATCATTTCCTCCCTGGATTTCCATCATGTTACTGGAGGATACATGAATATGTATGTAATACCCTCTGGTAAACATACAAAAAGCTATTGAAAATGGCCCAGTCGAAATAGTGGATTTTCCCATGAAAAAGATGGTGGATCTTTCCAGTTCGCGAAATGTTAGTCATTACCAGGTTGGGTAATATGTAATATATGTGTATATATATATGCCTTTGCAAGGCCAATGAGGATAGATAGATCCTGATCTCCCCAGCTATTCACCCACTGGTAATCTTTTTAAAGACGGCTGGAAGATCCACCATTTTTTGATGGGAAAATCCACTATTTCTATGGTCATGTTCAATAGCTACGTTAAATTACCAGAGGGTATCTCTATATATATATATATGTATATACACATAGAGGATTTCCAGCCATGGCAGCCATGGCAGCCATTGCCCTTATGGTGTTTCGACATGGCATTACATATACGTCCAATGGGATATGATCTATAGATAGACAGATCAAACGTGGCAGTTGACAATCCCCTTCAAAATGGTGGCTCTAGTGGGAAAATCAACTATAAATAAGGATTTTTCCTTTGCCATGTTTGATTATGGAGGGTATGTTTATATTTATGATTGAATGTAAGTGTATATATATATATATACACATGAGTTTTCATATATACACGTGCATCTATATATATACAGAAAACATTTGTTGAGGTTTTACTTTTTCTTAAACGGTGCCATGGTTGACAACTCCGCCAAGGCGCAGAAGGGGCGCAACAACAAGAAGCAGATCTTGGCTCCTGGGGCCCTCCGGCCCGGCTCGCAGGCACTGAACAGCGAAAAAAATGAAACAGCGTTAAAGAGAGACGGGTGGTAGAAAACATAGTATATATATATATAACTATATATAACAGTATCCCCTATGAAGAATATCCTAGGTTTTACATATCCCAATTTGATCTTCGGTTATTACATGTTATTACTTTCTTTTTTGACCAGCTGACTAAGTGTCAATCACTTGATTGGGGATTATGATAACCCATAGAATGGGACACCTATCAACCAACTAGTATGTTAATGGCTCAGTTTTTATGTCGTAGTGGCCTGCAATGGTGGTGCTCGGCCATTTGGGGCGCATGCTGAGAATCCTTTGTTCATACAGTATGTACAGTACATGTATATACAGTATTTAGACACATATATATATATATACATGTATGCAAAACAATGCAATGCAATCCAATGCAATGTAATGTAATGTAATGTTACTGGTTGGTGGTTTGGAACATTTTTTATTTTCCATAATATATGGGATAATCTTTCCCATTGACTTTCATATTTTTCAAGATGGTTAAAACCACCAACCAGGTTATGTTATGTTATGTTATGTTATGTATGTATATATATATATAGCTGGGATATATACCCAGACACTGTTGGACATCTAGGACCAGCCATTTTTCGCAACTGCTCGAAGGTTCCTGGCCTGTCGGACCTTTTGGAAGGAGCCCGTGTGGGTGTTGCAGGCGCGGAATGCATGGTGTTTGGACAAAGATGGGGATTTACATTCTTGTAAACTAACATAGCTATGGAAAATCACAATTTTTAATGGCTAATTCAACTATAATTAAATGGCCATTTTCAATAGCTGTGTTAAACTACCAGAGGGTACCCTTGGGGAAGCTGAAAATAGATGTGGAAATCGCCAGGTTTTGTTAGGAAAAACGATCTACACATGTTTGATTTTCCACATTTAGAGGGTACCCTCTGGTAAACATACAAAAAGCTATTGAAAACGGCCATTTATAGTGGATTTACCCATGAAGAATTGTGATTTTCCATAGCTATGTTAGTCATTACCAGAGGGTAAACCAGAATGTCATGGGGATATTTTTTGGAATATCTCATGGGATATCATGGGGTATACTTGGATTGATGGGATATGATGGGAAAATGGTTGTTAATGGATGTTGGTGGGATGTAGAAATATCATGGAAAATAATGGGAGACATCATCAACGAAATGATATTTGGGCGTGTCAGAAAGATGGCACAGCCCAACGAGAACATTTTAGTGGAGAACATGATGACGAACTGGTGGATTTTGTTCAGCCAAAGCTGCACCATGGGCTCAACCAACGACGCATTCATGTGGGCTCCAGTCTTTAATCCTGAAGCATTCATTTGCGGAGATACTGTATCACCTTTGTTTGTGTTTTGTCACATCAGTTTTTGGCCACACAACGGAGCCATGCAACATGGCAGTGAAATGTGAAGATTTTCATGATGGATGAGCGTCTTGAACCTAGCATCGATCTTCAAAGGGTCATAAAAAGACGGTAAACAACCATCAGTTTTACAAAAGGTAGCAATCCAGATATTGGTTTATGTACTTGTTTATGTACAAACGATGATACCCTCTGGTAATTTAACATAACTATAGAAAATCACCATTTTCAATGGGAAAATCCACTATAAATGGTGATTTTCCATAGCTATGTTAGTTCACCAGAGGGTAACACATAGTGGCATTCAGCCCTTGTGCCTGTTATTGTGCCTGGGTTGCTGCAACGGATAGATCTGGCACATCCAGAAACTCGAAACTCGAATCCGTGGTGTTTTTATGCCAGGTCTCCGCAGTACCCCACATCTTTTCACAGCTTTCGATGGAGATTATAGATTTATATGATATTTATATATGATAGATTATGATTTATGATAGATTATGATAGATTATGATTATGATAGATTATGATAGATTTTTCCATCTCTTCAGGGCCTCAGGCAGTTTTCGTATCTGTTTCTACGGTGGAAAATCTCCATGGCCCGGCTGTGGTAAAGGGCGCCTGGAGCCAGGCAAGAAGAATGCCAATGCCAAGACCTTGCAAGGCCGATCGCTGACGATGGGGTGTTGCAACGGACGTTTTGTTGTTTAGTTTCTCTTATAGTAGATAGGCTGTGAACACACACACACATATATATAAATCATAATATATATATACATCACACATATCATATATATATATATATATCATATACATGTCATATACATCATATATATATATATCATTTACATATCATATACATATCATATACATATCATATACATATCATATACATATCATATATATCATATATATCATATATATCATATATATATATCATATATATCATATATATCATATATATCATATATATATACCATCCATATATCATATATATATATATCACATATATATATATATCATATATATATGATATATATATATGATATATATATATATGTATATATCATTTATATATATACAATAAAACATATAATATAATACATAATATAAAATACAATTTAATATTATGAGATATTATATATAGATATAAATATATAATATATAATATTTACATACTAATAATATATAATATATATAATATATAATATACCTCGCCTATATATATAATATATGATATGTACTACATACTATCTCCATCTCTCCTCCCTCCCTTCTCCTTTTCTTCTCCTCTTCTATTTTCCTCTCCCTCTCACTTCTCTGCCTCTTCCTCTCGCCTCTCCCTGTCTCGTCTCTGTCTGCCTGCTCTCCCCTCCCCTGCTCCCCCCCCTTCTCCCTCCCTTCTGCTCTATTCTTTTTTTACTGCTCTTGTCTCATTTACTCTCCTCCTGCTCTCCTCTTTTCCTTTCCCTCCTCTCTCTCCTGTTTTCTTCCTCCGGGGCCGCCCTCTTTTCCTCTCCTCATCCCTCTCCCTCCTCTCTCCTTCCTTTTCCTTTCCTCCCCTGCTCTCCTGCTACCTCTCCCTCTTCTCTCCCCTCTCTGTCTCTCCTTCTCCTTTCGCTCTCCCCGCCCCTTTCCTCTCCTCTCTCTCTCTATCCTTCTCCTTCTCTCCATCTCTCTCTCCACCTCCTCTCTCTCCTCATCTCCTTCTCTCTCTTCTCTCTCTTAACTCTCGTCTCTCTCTCCTCATCCCTCTCTCTCCTCTACTCATCCTCCTCTCTCTCTCTCTCTCTCTTCATCTCTCCTCTCCTCTCCCTCTCTCTCCTTCTCTCCTCTCTCCCCTACTCTCTCCTCTCTCTACCTTCTCCTCTCTCTCGCTCTCTCTCCCTCGCTCTCCTCTTCTCCTCCTCAGCATCCCTCGTCTCCTCTCTCCTACACTCTCTCTCTCTCCTCCTCCTCTCTCTCTCTCCTCCTCCTCTCTCTCTCTCTCCTCCTCCTCTCCCTCTCTCTCTCTCCCCTCTCTCTCCCCTCTCTCTCCCTCTCTCTCTCCCTCTCTCCCTCTCCCTCTCTCTCCCTCTCTCTCCTCCTCTCTCTCTTCCTCTCTCTCTTCCTCTCTCTCTTCCTCTCTCTCTTCCTCTCTCTCTTCCTCTCTCTCTTCCTCTCTCTCTCCCTCTCTCCCCCTCTCTCTCTCTTCCTCTCTCTCTCTCTCTTCCTCTCTCTCTTCCTCTCTCTCTCTCTCTCCCCCTCTCCCTCTCTCTCCCTCTCTCTCCCTCTCTCTCCTCTCTCTCTCTCTCCTCTCTCTCTCTCTCTCCTCCTCTCTCTCTCTCTCTCTCTCTCCCCTCCTCTCTCTCCCTCCCTCCCTCCCTCCCTCCCTCCCATCCCTCCCCTCCCTCACCTCCCCCTCCCTCCCCTCCCTCCCCTCGCCTCCCTCCCTCCCCTCCTCCCGCTCCCTCCCACCCTACCCATATGCATACCATACCATGCCATACCATGCCATGCCATGCCATGCCATGCCATGCCATGCCATGCCATGCCATGCCATGCCATGCCATGCCATGCCATGCCATGCCATGCCATGCCATGCCATGCATGCATCCATACATACATACATACATGCATGCATGCATGCATGCATACATACATACATACATACATACCATACATTCCATACATACCACTCATACCATACATACCATACATACCATACATACCATACATACCATACATACCATACATACCATACATACCATACATACATACCATACATACATACCATACATACCATACATACCATACATACCATACCATACCATACCATGCCATGCCATGCCATGCCATGCCATGCCATGCCATGCCATGCATACATACATACATACATGCATGCATGCATGCATGCATGCATGCATACATATATACATACAGACAGACAGACAGACAGACAGACAGACCGACAGACAGACAGACAGACAGACCGACAGACAGACAGACAGACAGACAGACATACATACATACATACATACCTATATACACATATTATTCAAAACTGGCTGACCTTTGGGTACCCAGAGATCCCCAGTGGGAAGTCTGTTGAAATTACAAGAGTTAAGGCTTGCACACTGGTTGGTTGCATGGCTCCTATTCCACGAGTCACCAATTTTCCCCCGACAGCTGCAAGTGAAATTTTGTGTCTTCGATTTGAGAAGGCAATCAGATGTATTTAGTAACCCTAAAAACATAGAACAATGAAATGTTACTGAACTTGGGGCAAGCTCTCTCTCTCTCTCATATATATATATATACGTATCGGTTAGTGTAATTCCCAACCAATGGAAGAAACTTGTTTTGTTTAGCCGAGATAATTCGGGACTCCCACATGGCTTCCCTTTTGGGATTCTGCAGAAGGTGCCGCCAAGAGCAAGAACACCAACAAGAACAAGCAGCCGAAGCACAGCTGCAGATTTGGAGAAAACACACCTATGACTGACCCATATCAACCTCCACTGATCCATAACCCTGTTTCGTTTTGGTTATCATCATAAACATCCATTAGGTACCATCCGGGTTATGGTTCAAAAAACCTGGTACCCGGATGGTACCCCAAGTCTGGTCCCCCAAGTCTGGTCGCTGGATGTTTGTGGATGTCTTTGTTTTGCATCCCCCCAACATGGCCATATTGTAATGGGGAATTTCATGATGAACCAACGGAAATTTGGGGGCTACCCTACTTACAAAGCCGTGTTTCTCCGAGCCAATGAACCAATTTCTGCTTTGACTGTTGAAGTCTCATAAATTTTGCCATGAACCTGACTCCATTTCAGGTTTTCTCTACAAGTCCGATCTGCGCCATTGTTTCACTCGTCTGAGGAAGGGGCCGGATGTGGTGCCGCATCCGATGGTACGGGAGTCCAGAGAAGAACTGGTGAATCATGGCCATTGTGTGGGGACACCGACAAGCCCATGTTCCAACTTTTGTTAATCTAACCTGGAAACTCCAACAGGAAGAATTTTCTTGTAGTTCTTGTGTTTGCCTAAATCGCTAAGTTTTTTGTGCAAACGACTATCTTGACAAGAATTGCCAATTCCCATGGTTTGAACCGGTTTGCAGCCATGGTACAACTTTTTGGCCTGCCACTCTGGTACAGCAGTTTATCTGCTATCAATTCGAACCACTAGTACTTGGAAAATGAAGATGCATTAGGCAAATCAAGATTTGCTTCGCAGAGCACCGAGGAGCTTTGTGGCATCCTAAATGGATTCTGAAAGCGCAATGATTCGCGAATACCACAAAAGTGACTGAAAGACGTTTTTTGCGACAAGAACGCCCCGCAAAACGCCCGCAAATACCAGCAAAGTGGTAATTTTTGTTGTTTTCCAATCAGGGGGAGGTTTTTTTTTTCAGTTTTTCTGCTAGATGGGCTCACTAGAAACCTGAAAAGTCATACGCAAGCAATGTGGCTCTGCCATCAGTATGGGTGGTTGAAAGGGAGAATATTGGCTTGGAGATGCAATGGGGGCACCCAAGAAACTTGAAGATTTTTCTCTGCGCCCCAAAACTCGACATGTTTTTCTTTAATTCGCCATGATTTTCAGCAACACGCCGTGAACGACATGTTTTTTTTTGGAAACGATATGAAATCATGAACGCCTAGAAAAATCTTGCCAAGGGAGGATCACGGAATTGAGCTTGATCTCAAGCTCAATACCTATTTTCTTCTGATTTGCTTGGTGGTGTCAACTCCTTCCCCTGGAAATGGAATGATGATATACCCTCTGAAGTGGACAGTTGCACTTTTATGCGTGTGGCACCAGTCAGTGATTCTTATTCTCCCGTTTGGCCGCATCCAAGTCTCTGGGAATTGGTTCAATTTCGTCCTGGATTTCGTGGATTTTATGGTGCTGTAGACTGTATGCAGGTAGATAGTACATACACGGATGTTTTATTTGGAACCAAGTCTTTCTATATCTTTCTATCCTTTTTTATCCGACGCTCCTTAAAAACGAGGGTCATGTAATAGGTTCCAGTTGGGGACAGTTCTCGCAGATGATCTAGGCAGTTTGCCCCCCCAAAGAGCGGTCGCTGAAACATGAAGAAGGATCTGTCATTTGTCTGTCGATTGTTCAGGGACTCTCATATTTCCTCAGAGGTAAAACAGTCAACACCAGTCAACCAAAGTCCAGAAAATCCCAATGATCACACCAGGGCTTCATTGCGGATTATGTACACATGATGTACACATGATGTACCATGGGGATCCATGGGGTAAGATGAACCACGGGAGATGAACCGTGAAGCGATCATTGGCTCATCTCCAAGGTGGCAGCATTTCCCCAGATGCAGATGCAATGGTTGCAGGTGGGCGGTCCCGGTCCTATCGGGATGGTCGAAACCCAAGGGACCCCCCCCCAATTTTTTTGATGAAAAAACTGGAATCATCCACTGGATCAAACTGGATCAATGGGGGATGCCCTTGGCTTCAAAACAGACCCTTTATCACGATGGTTTCATGCAGCATCCAAGTGCATGGTTTGTGGCCTGCTGTTTTTGGACCCTGTTTTTGGTGGAGTTCCAGCTGACCCTCTGGTTTTTCCTTAACACTTTGCTATGCTTTACATCACGACTTTGACATACTTTTAATACCCATATGCTCCATGTATAGAATATTTGTCAGCATTTGCCCATGGTGCTGGAATATTTGTTAACATTTGCCCGAACAAAATCATCCAGTTTTGTAGGTGAATATACCAGCACCATGGAGCATATGGGATAGGTAAATCATCTATCAATGGGCGTCACCGACAGGCGATGGCCACAGGCTGCGGTGCGGGCACCCAGAAGAACGCCAAAAAAGAAGCCATCACTGTGGGGAGTCGTAGGGTTTCAACAAAGTTCCAACGGAAACAATCCATCTAACTGTTAGAATCTAACTACCAACTGGAACTGGAAAAATCATGAAAAATCAAAACAAACAGTGAATTCGAAAAACGCACCAGAATCTAAGAGAGTGAAAAAGCTAGGTTCGACGTTGATCAGGGACCCACATCTTTGACGAACAGCTGAAATATCTGCGCCATTTGACTTCCGCTCCTAGCTGCATGACCTAGTTGGAAACCATTAAGCTACATTAAGCTCAGGTGTTTTTTTTCACGTGTCTGTGCACCAGCGGTACATGTTGGATCCGAGATAGTATAGAATGGTATAGATGTATCATGATGACATGCACAGCTACGTACATTTACCAACATTTTATATCATTTTATGCTTTTTGGACATGTAGAAAGCTCACCGCCAGGTGTACCCATGCCTATGATGGCTCCGGGAGGAGGGGCTGGGCATAGGGAGGCCTCCATTTTTTGGGGGGTTGGAATATGGGTAGCAGTCTGAACACGGGGTATACCCCCAAATGACCAAGAAACACATGGGACTTCGGTGTGGCCTATTTTCAAAGAAGCCCAGACTATGTACATGGAGCAAGAACTTCCCAAGGTTTTGAGGGGCAGTGGACTAGAAGACTAGATTGCTAGATCCGACTGCATTGAAAGGGTTGCAACAGCCATAGGTCTTAGACACGCAAACAACAGGCATATGGGTTTGTTTGAAATAGGGTACCTGCAATTCCATTGGTTAATACGGATGTTACCCATGTATACCCATGTACATTACCATTTTGTTTTTTCCTGGGTAGATCTCATTTGGCATTCTGTTGGACATTGCAGCCGCCGAATTATTTCTATGGTGCGAGCTATCCAAATCGTTGAGGGAAAGTGCCGCCTATCAACTGCATCCAATGGAAAAAGACAATTTGAGCACGTTGCCATAGACTCCTCACTGAAAACTGGTTGGTGGTTTGGAACATGGCCTTTATTTTTCCATTCAGTTGGGAATGTCATCATCCCAACTGACGAACTCATATTTATCTGAGGTGTAGTCTCAACCACCAGCCAGATATAGATGTTTTTTTTTAAAGAATTCCCACAATAGACTTTGAGTTTCCAGTTGATCATCGCTGCATAAGCGTGGCTTGGGTGACCAGATTCCATTCAGCAAGCAAGTGAGTGACTGGCCGTGCTTCTGGCACCGTCCCTTCTTCTTTGCAGCAAGCCCTTTACCCTCTGGTTCTGTCAACATAGCTATTGAAAATGGCCATAGAAATCGTTGATTTACCCATTAAACATGGTGATTTTCCATAGTTATGTAAATGTTTATCAGAGGGTAATGGTTCGATTTCCATGTCTACTAGCCAGTTGTGATTTCTGGCACTGTCAAAGGAGTGTCACATAGGTTTGACCTGGGAAGAATGACTAACCGCAAGTGTTTCAGCGCTTAGAACAATGCCCAGACCCTTGTAGTTTGATAGTTTTCCTACAACGCACTGCACGGGCACCCATATCAACGATGGTTATGTAGTGTTTTTTCAACTCGTTTTTTTTTTTTTTTTTAAGGGGATTGCATGATTCCAGTATTGGTTGCTGCAATTCACAAACTGCGAACTGATCAACCAGCGAATGGTATAACATGATATGACTATAACATGACATAACCAACCAACCAACTCTCACCGCAACAAGTTGGGATGACAGCAAAACATGATATGACTTCTACTCTTGAGGTGAAATATATCCACTTATTTTTGTAGGCTTTGTTTTTGATGGTGAACTCAGAGAGCGCGACTTTGGAGGCTTGCCAATGCAAGGCTTCATGCAGCCAGCCATGTGCCCTTGACCGACAAAGGTGGCCCTATTGGGAAATAGGAGAAAGGGATTGTAAGCCCACACTAGAAACGTGTGAAACCTGATGAAACCTGGAAATATGAAGGAAATATCATCGAACTAACATCCTGGAAACACTGAAATCGGCATCTTTTCAGGGGTTCTGTATTATTAGTAACATATTAATCAGACGGTTATTGGATAGAACAGGATTTTGGTGCATTGGATGATATCTAGCAGCCTATCCAATGTTAATTGGGGATGATCACAATCCATGAATTGGGAATCCCGTTCTTGACCAACCAGGACAAAATGGACATTTCGGGTCTTGAACACTGCTCACGTGAAAGGTGAATGGTTAAGCAATGACATGGGGATAAGATGGGGGGATTGAACTTGCTGTTTTTCACCACAGAATTTTTGGACGGGACCAGTGAGTAGCCCCCTGGTCGTAAACCGATATAGTTTTCGATCTATGCGTTGGGGTCCCTTCCTGGAGGATATCTTTTTTAATCCCTTCCCCCGTTATTAGAGATCACGGTTTAGTAGGGGATTGGAACCATTAGGACCATACCATGGGGTGTGTTTAATGGGACTAGTCAACCATATCCCACCGATGAAGGCCAGGGATGCCTGGGGGATTTCCTTGGAAGCACAAAAAGGGCATCCCGTTGAATCTGTAAAAAGGTATGAATTGAACTTAGAGATATGACAAGTTATGATATGTTATTATTTGTTTATTCCCCTCAAATTGGCTGGTGCTTTGGAATTTGACATGGAAACCATTTTCAAATTTACTGATGGCGAATTACATATATATATATATTCAAAACCATCTTCTAGATCCGTTCTTTGGGGATAGATGTCAGTTTTCAGCCCTGTATGTGCATAGTGGTGAATGTGAGTAGCCCCCCAAGCCCCCCATTTTTTGTTGAGCAGCAGGCAAGAATTAAACTGAACAGGTCGATTGTGGATACAGGGCATGTTATGTACAGTATAGACCACCTATTACCAACTGCTTTTGTTGGGCATCCATTGGAAATCATGATAGGATTCCCGCAACCACAGGGCATGACACGGTCGGCTAGGTACGATGGGGTGGACAGCAATGTGTTGATGGGCATGAATATGATGCCCTTTCCGGTGTCTGCACCCAGAGGGCCTTGGGAGGATCACATCCTGGTTGCTGATGTTGGTTCATTTTTGCTTATGTTCATCCGAAGCACATGAACCGATGATCCTGATTTTCACACTTTTGGCGTGGGCCCCAGCAGATGATGCTTCTTGAGACCATAAGGAAAGACGCGCTGGCTATTTACGGCATCAAAGTTGGAGTTTGCGGCAAGAGTTGTGCCTGGAAAAGTAAAACCCCAGTCCTCCCCACAGGATTCCCAGAATACGAAGTTCCTTTTTTTATTCCAAACATCGACCCTGTCCGGGAGCCTCGTGGTGATTTTTAAATGTTGACACATGCCACTGCCGTTTCAGATCGTTCCAGCCCGACATGACATGACCAAGATGACTCCCCAGATTTCTCGGTGGTTTAGTTAGTCGTAACCCAGACAACCACGTGTCGTGGCCGAGGGTGGTGTTGATATGAGCCAGTACATGAACATTGCTGCCGTCCTGCTGGCATGTACTCTCCCCGGAGGATGACTTGAGCAGACCTAGACCTAGCATACAAGTCATGTGCCACATGTGGGTCTCAATGGAGGCTGCTTAAAAAAAAACACAATTTTCTTTCCTGGGAAAATGATGATTGTAGAAGCATCATGAATGTTTGGGGCAAGCTATTTTCAAACAAACCCATGTCGACCCATGGGCAAAGGGACTGGTGGCTGGTTTCAAATGTACCCTTTGGTCATTTATATAACATTAGGAATGTAGCTGTTTGACAATACATGTTAAATATAAATGTCATGTTAAATCTTAAACAACCAAAGGTAACATTCATGATGATCAACATGATGATTATAGGTAGCTATGTTCAACAAGCAGAGGGTATTTTTATACCCTCAAGTTGGAAGGTTCTAGAATGCCCCCCCCTGGGGATAAACACGGAGGGTTCTAGAATGAAACTTTTTCATTGTAGAACCTCCGGTCCCGTAAGCATTGTAGAACCTTGGAAGCTTCTATAATAGCATATGATGATATACGGTGCAGGTTTTGTGCAGGTATTTGTGATCCCTAGTGAGCCGGTGGTTGAAAGCAATTTGCCAGTTTGATCCTCCTGTTGAAACTATGGTTTTGGTGATTTGCAAGGCTCGATTGCACTATGTCGCAACAATATTGCCGAACCAATGCCATTCGGCACAAAAACCCAGAAGGATTATATACAGATGATACACGGTAGAAAAATTGACACAATCACAGTTTATATACAGATGATACACGGTAGAAAAATTGACACAATCACAGTTCAGTTTGTTTCTTGATCTCAGTACATGGTAAGAACATTTCTGACTGGGGGAACTTGTGGGTTCAGCTCAGTTTTGAAGTGGTTGGCTGTACCTTTACCTTTGCATTCACCCCAACAATGCATGTTTTTTTTGAGTTTTTTTTTTGCATGTTTGCTTCTTTTGCCGTCACCTGAGGCACACATAAAGTGGCTTTTGCATGTTGTGTCACAAGAGGCTGCAAAATCCCGCGTCGAAAATGTACGTGGATTTGCTAGAGATTTGCATGCATTTGGGCTGTTCTTTTGATTTAATTCCGAAAAGGCGTGGGCCAAATATTGCCTAGCTCCACATCTCTGAACGAAAGGGCCAATAGGTGAAGTGAGCGGCAAATTGGTAGGTAGAAAATTTCCCCACTGGAAACAGCTGTAGTGGCACACAAACGAATTTCAGGGATAATCAAGTCAGCTAAAACTGTGCCTGCCATCTTTTGTTCTTCTACACGTAGACGAATGCCTGTGCAACAAATGAACATATCTAAGCTATCTAAGCTATCTAAGCATACAACAGTTCTAAATGGTTTCCCCTTGCAGTAGCTGGTATTTCACACGTTTGGCCAAGCAGGAAACCATTCCAGAACCCTTCCCAAAGATAAACACCTCCAGAGGTAGGTAGGCAGGTGCAACCCAATGCTAATGAATTTCAGTGATAACCAAGTCAGCTAAAACTGTTTCTGCCATCTCTTGTTCTTCTGCAAGTAGAAGAATGCCTCTGCAACAAATGAACAAATTAAAGTTACCTAAGCATGCAAATGTTCTAAAATGGTTTCCCCTTGCAGTAGCTGGTATTTCACACGCTTGGCCAAGCAGGAAACCATTCCAGAACCCTCCCCAAAGATAAATACCTCCAGGGGTAGGTAGGCAGGTACAACCCAATGCTAATGAATTTCAGTGATAATCAAGTCAGCTAAAACTGTTTCTGCCATCTATTGTTCTTCTACAAGTAGACGAATGCCTGTGCAACAAATGAACAAATGAAAGTTACCTAAGCATGCAAATGTTCTAAAATGGTTTCCCCTTGCAGTAGCTGGTATTTCACACGTTTGGCCAAGCAGGAAACCATTCCAGAACCCTTCCCAAAGATAAATACCTCCAGGGGTAGGTAGGCAGGTACAACCCAATGCTAATGAATTTCAGTGATAATCAAGTCAGCTAAAACTGTTTCTGCCATCTTTTGTTCTTCTACAAGTAGACGAATGCCTGTGCAACAAATGAACAAATGAAAGTTACCTAAGCATGCAAATGTTCTAAAATGGTTTCCCCTTGCAGTAGCTGGTATTTCACACGCTTGGCCAAGCAGGAAACCATTCCAGAACCCTTCCCAAAGATAAATACCTCCAGGGGTAGGTAGGCAGGTACAACCCAATGCTAATGAATTTCAGTGATATTCAAGTCAGCTAAAACTGTGCCTGCCATCTTTTGTTCTTCTACAAGTAGACGAATGCCTCTGCAACAAATGAACAAATGAAAGTTACCTAAGCATGCAAATGTTCTAAAATGGTTTCCCCTTGCAGTAGCTGGTATTTCATACGTTTGGCCAAGCAGGAAACCATTCCAGAACCCTTCCCAAAGATAAATACCTCCAGGGGTAGGTAGGCAGGTGCAACCCAATGCTAATGAATTGCAGTGACAATCAAGTCAGCTAAAACTGGTTCTGCCACCTTTTGTTCTTCTACAAGTAGACGAATGCCTGTGCAACAAATGAACAAATGAGAGTTACCTAAGCATGCAAATGTTCTAAAATGGTTTCCCCTTGCAGTAGCTGGTATTTCACACGCTTGGCCAAGCAGGAAACCATTCCAGAACCCTTCCCAAAGATAAATACCTCCAGGGGTAGGTAGGCAGGTGCAACCCAATGCTAATGAATTTCAGTGATAATCAAGTCAGCTAAAACTGTTTCTGCCATCTTTTGTTCTTCTACAAGTAGACGAATGCCTGTGCAACAAATGAACAAATGAAAGTTACCTAAGCATGCAAATGTTCTAAAATGGTTTCCCCTTGCAGTAGCTGGTATTTCACACGTTTGGCCAAGCAGGAAACCATTCCAGAACCCTTCCCAAAGATAAATCCTCAAGGTGCATTGTCTAGGGTGACATCTCTGTGCCATAGCTGCCCAGCCCCCCCAAATATCCCAAAAGAACAAGTGTCCAGTCAGTGGTGTCCTGATGAAGGTAGGCAAACTTACCATTTTTTAAGTGACAGCTGGACAGCTGTAGTTCGACACACAGCTGCTTGCTGATTCCGCATGTGATGATTTGTTCCTTGTTTTTCTCCTTTGACGCAAAAACACTACTGTTTTGAAAACACTGCATGTAGGAGTTTGCTGTTTTATTGAAAATTTATCTGGTTGGACATGTTTGCATACAAGTAAACAAACAGTCGCACGGGAAATGGAACGAGTCCACAACTAAATTCGTTTGAAAAGGGGTGACTTATAGGGGAAGGGGACATTCTGAAAGCATTTGGGTTCGGGTGCACTTTAATGGTTGGCAAGAAAGGAAGCAAAGAGCGCGGGCAAAAACCTGGCTCCATAGGTAGTAAATGATACGACCATCTGTGGCCGGGCCGCCACCCATTGAAAAATGTTGTGGAGTATCATGGAGTGCTCTTTGCAGTTTTTTTTTTGATTCGCTTCATGTTGATCTACTTTTTGGGGGCGCAGATTTCCTCATCGTTTTTTTCCTGAAATGCGATGGTTTCAACAAGGATTTTTTTAATTTGTTAAATGTTTTTTAAGGGTGGAAGATACCATTTTAGAACCCATTTTAGAACCCAAAAACGGAATAGCTGCCAAAAATTTTGGGTTCTAAGACCCCCCTGGTAGATTCCATTTTAGAAACCATTTTTGGGTTCTAAAATGGTCCCCAAGGGGGGTTGAAGCAACTTGAGAGGATGTATTTTTATCATTCCATTAGGACTGGGATGGTCCTCCGACTCACGGAAAGCCTGTACTTAGATGATCGCTTCGTAGCTGGTACCAATGGTAGTCATCAAAAGAATGTCCCACTTATGGTGGACTGGGATGTGAAGTGAGCCCCCAATTCTTCCTAGTACTATCCCAGTACTTTCCAGCAATATCCCAGGATGAGATATCCAGTTTTATCCCTTGCTATTCAGTATTAATCCGGTATTAATCAAGTGGTATTCCACAGTCCAGTATTCTTCCAGTACGATTCCAGTGATCCCTTCCCCCGTTCATATTAAGCACCCCGAAGAAACCATGAGTTTGGTAGGGGATGTAGATACACATATTTGGGACCAGAATGGGGGTGCTTAACATAGGTGGGGCATAGGATATCCATTTGTTAACTTCAGATTTGGTTCCTGGTTCCCATCCCAGTAGAGGCTCGTCATCTCGATCATCCCGGATAGCCTCTGGTGATCGAACATGATCATGGCGATCGCTGGGAAATCCTAGAACTAGCCATGGAGGTTTTTGTTGCGAAAATCATCTGACCAAGCCTAGGTGGATTTTCAATCAAACCTAGTTTTTTATGTTTGACACCGAAGGGCATGATTTCGGATGATTTCCCGGTTGGTGGTTTGGAAGCTGAATTTTATTTTTCCATTCAGTTGGGAATTTCATCATCCCAACTGACTCTCTTTTTTTTCAGAGGGGTAGGCTCAACCACCAACCAGTTTCAGTATCAACGAATATCTCTGGGAATACCCGGAAGCGCCAGTTTGGACAAAGCTATCCCTACGGCAACGGTGATGCCTTCGAGCAGTTTGGGGACATCAGGCGAGACTCGCTGGGTCCGGATGAAAAATGGTGGTGTATAGCTGGAATGGGTCGTCTTCCAGCCATGTTTGATTGTCAGTATCTATAGAATGGGACATTAGTCAATGGGAAATTCAGGATCCAAAAATGGAGGTACTGTACCATATAAAGCCATATTTTGTGGGGATATTCCCTTAAATTTAGGCCTTTTTTTTCGGCCTTATATATGGTAGGTACCTCCGTCCTCAATCGGTTCCTTAAATGGCCATTGAATGAACCTGATAACCTGTAAACATGAGGATCTATGAGCCAACATGTGGATCTAACCCTTTTGTGGAGGGGGATTGACCTGGAGTCCGGTATGGAGTTCAATTCACCAGTAAGTTTCAGAAGGAGATCTGGTGAAATTCTCCCCAAAATTGTCTCAACCAAGAAGTAGCAACAAACAGGATGACAAGAGGTTTATTGGGCACTGGAAATTCCTGCAGCTGAAGATTCGGTAGAGATTTTGCAGGTTTCCGCATGAAACACACACATTTCATTACGTGGAGGGCTTGGAACAGACATGAACAGACCATTGCGCCGCGCAGGGGCAACGAAAATGCGGAGGATGAGGCGACTTGCGACGCGACTTGCGACGGTAATGTGTGGAAAAGACCACCTGTTGGTCGCCACCGATAGGGTGGCCGTTTTGGAACGCAGGGAAGGCAGTTGGAGTGGCCACCCCAAGGGAGATACGTGGTTGTGGAGTGGCAAGGGGACACAAATCAAGAAACAATTCAAAATATCAACAGAGATGAACATGAGAAACTTGTTTTTTTTCCAACATCTACTAAGTCTATCCAAACAGAATAGAACACCATTTGACCGCCAGGAAGGAGACGTGGAAGAAGAGGATGATCCGGTCCCGAAACCTAGGAACTGTGGGGGTGGTGCTGCAAGTAGCGACAGAGCCATTTAAGGGTATGTCTATATGGAAACATCATGAAACCTCATGAAACCATGATTTTGGAATCTGAATCTATGATGATCTATATGATCTATAGATAATCTATGGCTTTCCGAACACCAAGTCTAGGGCATATACTTATTTAGGTGGTGAGGGAAATTTTACGGTGGGGCTTAGCTCGCCAGTTGTTTGTCCCAGTTGTTGCGGTGTTGATCCGCCGGTGCGGTGGTTTTCTGTGGTGTTTCAGCACAATTACCCAAAGGCTTGTCAGCATTATGGAGGTAGATATTGTACCCTTCATGATTTATCTATCTGGGTTTCTCTATTTTATGAGACATGATTAAGAATAGACCTTATTGTACCTTTTACAGATTCTTAGAACTACATGTTTTTCTTAATGATTTATCCCATGACGGATCCATGGTGCTGCTATATATGGTGTGCCATGGATCCCCATCAACAAAAACCCCAGTCATGTTAGCATGAAAATATACAAGCGCACCATGGATCCGTCATGGGTATATAAATGTATCTATATACCATCTGGTTATTTAACATAGCCATGGAAAATCCCTGATAAATGGAGGTTTCTAGCTGGGAAAATCATCTATAAATGGGCAATTTTCCATGGCTATGTTAAATAACCAGAGGGTAATATATTATCAGGGTGGCCACAGAAGCACCATGCAAGAATCGGTTCCGCCGAGATCGATTGAACTCACAACATTTCGAGGGACATAGCTGGGATTCACTAGTCATGAGGGTTTCCATAGTCATGGTGGTACCCCAAATGGTTGGTTTATAATGGAAAAACCATCTATAAATTACGATGATTTGGGGGGACCCATATTTTAGGAAACCCCGAAAAATGGGACAGTGATATGTACACATCGCTCCTGATTCAAAAAGTTGTGGAACACTGCAGTGAAGCCAGCAACAAATCAGTGGTTGAAGCCTCAAAGACAGCAGTTTCTGGTTGGTGGTTTCAAACATATATTATTTTTCATAATATATGGGATAATCCGTCCCATTGACTTTCATATTTTTCAAGATGGTTAAAACATGTTAAAACCACCAACCAGGTTTTCATTTTTCTACAAACCGCTGAAGCACAGCATGAATGAAGGGGTGTAGAGATCGAATGTTGATCTCCTAAGGCCATGACTCCTTCGTACATTGTGAGCGGTCCGGGCCCAGGTCTTGGGGAGTCATCCTTTGCCATAGGATACCATGGGGATGTATGTACCATTAAAAATGACAAAAAAATGAGGGGTTTCCTAAGTCATGGGGCATCCCCAATAGCTTGATGGTTTATAATTTAGTATCATCGTCCGATCGCGGAAGGGCCACAGAAGACGATTTTAACTTATAATCGCTTATAATCTTCATGAGGAGCTTGTTTTGGCGGAAGCTCCGCGGAAGCAGAATCAACTTACCAATCATCCGCGGAAGCTGAAACTGTGGTTGCGGAAGCAGCGCGGAAGACCGCGCGGAAGACAAGTAGGATTATATAGAAGAATTACATAGGCGTTTTCGCCACCGCTCTAATGGACAATCCGGATTTAATAGCTGGACGATGTAGGGGTACCCCCATGGATTGGAAAGCTCCAGAATATCTGTACATATCTGTACCATTGTACCTATCAAGATTCGGCATGACCAATTCATCCCATGTACCCTCTGGTAAACTAACAGTTTGGTATTGAAAATGGCCCAGTCGAAATAGTGGATTTACCCAGCTAAAAAATGGTGGATCTTTCCATGGTTACGTAAACGTTTACCAGAGGGTAACTTGACCATGGCACGAAAGAGAAAACGAGCTTCGAAGTCAGATTTTGGGGTCAGCCGAAAGGCGATCTGTATGGTTATGGAAAGCAAGGAAGCCACCATCCTGGGTGAAAGCCCTAAGTTGTCTCAGATAGCACTTTGTTGTCTCATCTCGTTGTGCCATGCGGAAGAAGTGACACAACCACTGGAATGAATTACTACATGATTTGTTATTTGGAATGATCTTTACAGCACAACGCATAGGCACGCAGGGATTCTTAACATGGCAAACATTAGTTATATCCATTTGCCCCCCTAGCAATCCCTGGAGCAACGTGAGTTTCCCACACAGTGTGTACAGTACACACTCGGGGGTCTTGTGATCGGTCCTCCTCCTCCTCCTCCTCAGTATCATCATCTTCCTCCTCCTCCTCCACATCATCATTCTCAGCATCATCCTCGTCCTCCCCCTTGACATTATCATCCTCAACATCGTCATCCTCCACCTCATCTTCTGCAACATCCTCCTCCTCCACCTCCTCTTCCGCAACATTAATTATCATCCTTTTCATCCTCCTCCTCAACATGATCATCCTCAACATCATTATCTTCCTCCTTCTCAACATCATCATCCTCCACCTCATCTTCCGCAACATCATCCTCCTCCACCTCATCTTCCGGACCTTATTGCTTGGATCTTTCGGACCTATCCACATTGTTTTCACCATTTACTGTTTTTGATCTGACGTGGGGATACGTGGGGTGAGTTCTGGCTGGGATGGCAAAATGTAATTCCGGTACCTCGTCCGGTATCTCGTCCGGTACCTCGTCCAAAAACCTTTCCAGAGTCATGATTCTGGTATTACATCCATATTCCATATGTCTCGGATTCCGTTACAGCAGGGCAGGGTGTGATTTCAATGAGATTAATTTCAAACTTTGTTTGTGAAAGCCATCCAGTCTCCTGCAAGTGTGCTATTGGGGTTTTGGCCTTTATTCTGTTTCTTTGGGCATACCAGAACGCAAGCTGGTGCTGCTGTTTCAATGCTTGGCTAAGCTTTTGACCTGGAATTGCTTTTGGCGGTGTGCCATTGGGATTTGACTCCAAGTTGACAGGTCGCACCTTCCCATATTCTGATTCCTGGCATAGCTAAATGCAACTAGGGACATGATTCAAAGTTTGCAACGACGTCGTGAAAGTCTTCCACTTTCCTGCAAGTGTGCCATTGGGATTTTAGCTTTTTTGAGAATGGACACCCTTTATTTTGTTTCTTTTGGAAATACCAGAACGCAAGCTGGCGATGCTGTTTCAATGTTTGGCTCAGCTTTTGACCTGGATTTGCTTCTGGCGGTGTGCCATTGGGATTTGACTCCGAGTTGACAGCTTGCACCTTCCCATATTCTGATTCCGCGCGTAGCTACATGAAAGTCTTCCACTTTCCTGCAAGTGTGCCATTGGGATTTTAGCTTTTTTGAGAATGGACACCCTTTATTTTGTTTCTTTTGGAAAAACCAGAACGCAAGCTGACGATGCTGTTTCAATGCTTGGCTAAGCTTTTGACCTGGAATTGTTTCCGGCAGTGTGCCATTGGGATTTGACTCCAAGTTGACAGGTCGCACCTTCCCATATTCTGATTCCTGGCATAGCTAAATGCAAGCCAGGGACATGATTCAAAGTTTGCAACGATTTCAAAATATGATGCATCTGAGCCGCTGTGCCTTCGGGATTTGAAACCTGGGGTAACTATTGTCTGCCCTGGGGTAACTCTCGGTGTGCCTTGCGGATGTATTTTCATATTTACCATAGTTATGTGTTTTGTTTACATAACTATTATTAACTATTTATATTTATATTTACCATTTGCTGTTCTCCAGGTTATATTTACCATAGTTATGGATGTTTTCCGGAGAACACCGCATCAGTGCTTCGCCGCACTAAAAACTGGTGCCATTTCTGGGCTTGGCGGTCACCCAATTTCATCCCATCCGGGCCCCCGGGCCGGGCGGTCAAGCCGGTCAACTCGGGTGCTGGTGGATGGATCGACTCGGCTCGAATGGTGAGAAAGGGCCCCTTGGGCCCCTCCTACCCCAATTTTTCATGGTCGTTTTCTGATTGGTTTGGAACCATGGACTGGATTCTGAGTTTCCATTCAGTTGGGAATTTCATCAGCACTGACGAAGTCCATCATTTTTCAGAGGGGTAGGGCTCAACCACCAACCAGCTTTCAAACGAAAGACCAACTCTCCCTAGGACGATTTTTGTAGGGTGGAGGCCACTGGATAGCCGGGCCAACTCCTGGTTCTTGATCTCTCAGTCTCTCAGTGTTGGACGGGTTCAGTTATGGGAGGAGTTTATAGGTATAGCCTCCCAAGAAATAGAAAAGTAAAGTCCTACCAGAATAATGATGATGTGCCTTTCTATCTTTGTTGGGGGTTGTTATATATAAGATATATATATATATGATATATGCATATGTGAATGTTTCCTGAAATGGGGGTACACCTAAATCATCAATTTTAATAGGATTTTCCATTACAAACCGTATAAACCATCCAGCTATTGGGGATCCCCCATTTATGGCAAACCCTATCTATGTTCATACTGCAGGATACATCTAGAAACCAGCCCATCACTGCAGTGCGAGGTCAGCCCTTGGGCTAGGCGTGTTGAAGCCGGCGGAGTGTGTAAAAATGGGTCAATTTCCATGGGATATACCAGCACATTTGCTGGTAAGATCAATTATCAATTATATCCTATACCATTATTTTTCATGATGAAAGTCATATCAGATATACACACGCATATTTCATAGCGATGGAACCATCACTCAAAGGGGGTTTGACCTGTTTTAACATGTTTGAAACATGACACATATGGGGGTATAATTGATAAATGATAGTTATTCATGTGGTAGGTAGGTAGGTTGGTAGGTTGGTCGTGATTACCCTCTTGCAATCAAACATGGACTGTTCGATCATTCATCATTTGGTTTGATGGTTTTCCCATTTAAACGCCACTTAGTTCGGGGATTTTCTGGCTAGCCATGTTCGTTTACCGGAAGGTAATGGGATCAACAACATGATGTTTGGGTTGGCAATCTTTGGCTGGTAAATTAAACGATGTGGACATAATTTAGAATTTTTGCTGGTCATGAGGATAATTATAAGGATTAATGTTCTTTTTTAATGGTTATGAATGGGATCTACAGAATCCTAATATATATATACACTAAAAAACGTTTTGCACATGGGGATGCTACTTCTCCAACTGAAAGAGTTGAACGGTTGAAGGGGGTGACCCAAAAAGTGAGAGATATTTCACCAATGCAAAAGTGGACTATTTTATGGTAATTCGTGGGAAAGATACAAACAAAAGTAGGTTTTTTTCGCCTTAGAAATCGGGTTATTCTTCCACCCAAAATGGCTAATGTGATAAAGACAGTAAGAGACCGGGTCATTTTGTATCATCCCATTGCTAGAAAAAACAACCCCTCGGGGATGGTTTATGGCAACGGTTTACCACATGGTTAGCTATCGGGAAAGCCAAGAATTCCAGAAAAATTCATCGTTTCATCGTTTCCCGAGAGTTTTTTTTTGGGCTCTATTTTAGCCCAATGAAGTCATTTTCCCCACAAAACAACATCTTGAAGTGAGGGAAAGTATACCCCAAATTGGCCATATTTTTGTTGGGTATGAAACTAGGTCTGTGCCGGAATGGGGGGTTCATGAAAACCAGGGATGTGCACCATTGATCCACACAGAAAGTTATGGGCTATTCCACTATCATGCTGGAGTAACCCTGAAATTCATGTAGACGTTAGTACATGTTAACTTCAATCCTGCATGCTGTGACTGGTTCATTCTTCATTTCTTGTTGCATTTGTCTTGATTCCAAAGGTTCATATTCGTTCTTCAAGGGTTTTGTCGGAAAACAGGTTGTTTGAAATTTCATTTTCGCATTGACATGATAATCAAATGGGGGCCATGGACAAGCCCCAAGTCATATTGCCGTTCATATATATATATATACATACAAATATTATGATATTATATACACATGTCTGATTCCATCCCATGATGTCGTCATATGTCATCCTTTCTCCCCATATTTGCTTCAAAACCTCAAAGTTGGAGCGGAGGTGTTGCCTGCGCGCGCCTGGCGTCGACGACCTTTTCGGGGTCAGATGATTTTGCCCCTGGGGGTGGCCGCTTTTCGGGCCAAGAGATCTCCAGCTCCAAATTTCATGGGATATGTTGTTTCATATTTTTTCTGTTCTTTTATTCCAAAGGTTCAACATCTTGTGGATTCTAATCATCGTTATGTTCATGTTGCTCAAATCTAGTGAAGAAAATGAGGGTGGGGGTGTGAATCCTGCTGAGTGGGTGGTCTGTTAGCCAACTCATGTGGAGGACACGTGGAACTACTCCCATTGCAACCGGGTGATCTTGCCAGTAGCTCACTTCAGACGGTCCAAACATCATATTTTCATCATAGGTGCAGGAGAAGTTCGTTCCAGTTGCCCAAGTTGCTAGGGCTGGGCCCTACTTGTGGCATCCAAATTATGAGAGAATCGGCTCCCTGAGATCTACCAGAACCTGGTGACCTGGCCCAGAAACGGCACCCATCAGGGGAAACCAAACCGTTTTGGCCACGCTAGGCTTGGGTCAACCTGACTACAGCCAGGCTTGTACCGCTGTGTGATGGGAGCAGTGCGAGCGAAGCCATTGACATTGACAGTTTTAGACACGATCAACCTGGGATGGGCATCCCTTGCGGAACAGGGACGCTGATAGCCATGATATACCCCCGCTGGCGCAACCGCAGGGAGTAGATGGTCTAGGGTACCATGGCGAAATGATGCCCACATTGCAAAAATACGGTAGCAGACGTCCAACACAAACAGGGAATAACTATCAAGAAAGGAAAGGGACTTGATAGAACCATAGCTGGAAATGTCGACCTCTGAAATCTATTGGGCGCATTCCACTTCGTCCAAGCAGCGATTTTTTCAGTGAATTTGTGCGGGCGTTGGTAATTGCAACAAAGCAAGTCAAATCATTTTCATTTATTTTCCGCATCTGAGCGACGGTGCGTAGCGAGTGCTTGCTGTGGTTTAGCATCACTTTTGGGTGGTTGAATCATGATGATAATATCATTCCCTCTCAAGGTACATGGCAAATTTGTAAGGGACCTTGGATTTGGGTATGGGTCAACCTTCCAAAGATCCTTGTGACGAGATTTCTTGGGCTTGTTGGAAAGGCAGCCAACTTTGCAAAAACACACTAAGGTCAACCTATACCAAACATTCTTGAGGTTGGCAAAATTGTTTGAGCAGCCCTTAGTGATCTTAGTGGTTGGTAAAAGCCTTCATGTTTGGTCATGTTGTGGAGGAATACGTTCGCGATCGTTCGCGTATTTGACCAGAAATTAAACCTGTTTTGGGAGTATGTAAGCTTCGCCATCACACTACGCATTGTCGGATGAAAGCATTCGAAATTGTCCATGACCTACGGTTTTGAAACTTTTTCAGCACTTATAACGCTCCGCGCTGCACCCAGCTGGCACAGCATGCGGCTTCGTGAATTCAAGACTTTCTGAACGGGCTGCGCTGACGGAAATTGGGGGGCCTCTGGCGAGACGGCAGTGGCTTTGTTGAGTGGCTTTGTTGAGATGGCTTGAAACACTCGGGATCTGCCATATAAATTGTAAGACCCTCAAGCAATTATCTGATACGTATTGGATCAGAAGAATTGGGCCCCAGTTGAACCAACAGTTGTTTATTCATCCAGAGTTGACCCTCCGGCACTCGACCAATAATGACTGGAGATTCAAATAGCAACTGCCATGGAAACGTGTAATGCGTATTAGTATTATAGTACCATTATATGAGAACATTTAGTCTTATTTTCGTATTTGAGATAGTATATTATAATTACTATAGTGTTTTCTTGCCGAAACCTCAACAAAGCCATCCAGTGCGCAACCGGATTGAGATTTTGCCATAACTACGGCCGAACCGTGCTCCACGCAGACAGAGTGCACGGAAGGTGCTGGTTGTGGATTTGTGCCCCCCTCCAGCTAGACTGGCCTCTGGCGGGTCCGTTACAATTCTGTGTTGCCTTGGAGGTGTACGGCTTGTGCAAATGCGGCGTTGCTCGCCAAAACGCTTCGGAAAAGTGAGAAATCCCCCGTTTTTTCCAGGCGATTTTCAGAAGTGAAGTGGAGCCACTGGCTCCGACCGACACAGATTTCTTGAGATAACATGGCTAGCAAGGCCCAAGACAACCGAAATATAGCATATAATTTTATATAATATATAGCTGGTTGGTGGTTTGGAACATGAATTTTATGACTTTCCATATATTGGGAAGAATAATCCCAACTGACTCACTGACTAATATTCTTCAGAGGGGTTGAAACCACCAACCACTATATAGATTCAGTAATACTTGCAACTCTTTCCAATGAACATCATTTGCAGCGCTGCTATTTGGAATATTCTTTGGAAAACTAGCTATAATAGCATGAAAAATACATGAAAATACGTCCAACCCTTATAACTAGCCATATGGAAGATTCTTGGGTTAACCATCGGTCAACCGAACATTCCCATCACTCCATGCCTTCCAATCGTGAATCTCTCACGTTTCCGACGTTTCAGCCTTCTGGACGCCCGAGTCGAAGGTGACGTCGACATCAGCAGTGACGTTTTCGGAAGACAACAAGAAATATGACATGCTGAGGCTTAGATGTTGCCACAAGATGTTATAGCTAAGTGGATGGTAAATGAGTTATTTCCCAGTACAAGCGGGATAAATAAGGATAGACCCCAATCACTTTAACTAATTGTGGCAACATCCAAAAAATCCAAAAGGGAATATATATTGTATAATTTTTCCGGTTGGGTTTGGGGTCATTCCATGCTGTGGGACTTAAGACTATGTTTGGAACCAAACAGTCAAGATTTCTTGACTTTTCTGTTTGTAAAGTTACTCAAGATGAAGTCGGTTCAGTACGCTGAGCTCATGGACGGATGCATTCCAGAAACAGGTGGCCTGTCAACATCTGTCACTAGGGCCTTGCCAGAAAGTCTAGGGATCCCAGGGGTGTCCCCAAGGTACCGGGAGGCTTAGGTTCAACCGTGTCACCACCTGTAGATCTTGACTAGGACAAGATTCAAGTCATCATTCATGTTTTTTCCCACTCCGAATATCTCCGAATTGCCCAATTTCACAAAGCCATGTAAATATGTTTGAATATGCCTTATAGGAGGTAAAGAGGAAACATGAGGAGAAAGCTTCTCGCACTCCCGGAATCAACGCTTAAAATCGATCGTTGAATTGTTGTTATTTTTTTTGGGGTCTTTTCGGATGTCTCAAGTCACCTATGCCAAGACCTCCAAGTTTTGAGGATTTTGCTGGTAGATCCTACCAGAGCGTCTCGGGCCTCGGGGATGGTGGGTGAATCTGCCCGCTTTGGCCATCCCTGCTCGGAGCGCTGACAGTAGGGGCCGCAACGCGGCTTGGCTCTGTGGGAGGGTCTGAGGGATCATTTTGGATCGTAGAAAAATATCGAAAAATGGCATGCTCAGCATCCATGGTGGAGCAAAGAGGGCAAGTTCCATCATTTTATATATTTCAACCCTTCAGTTATCCAGAAAG